TGACCTGAGCGTCAACAAATACGAGGCGATCTGCCAGCAGCTGGTGGTGGACAAAAAGAAGACCAAGCTGACCCACGTCGAGTTTAATCCCATCCATCCTGTCATCATAGTGGGTGATGACCGAGGCTATGTCACCAGCTTCAAACTCTCTCCCAACCTCCGCAAGAAGCCGAAGGTTAGAGTCTTAACAAGCTTACCGCACCATTCGCGACTTCCACTTGTTCCACATCAATTAAAGCAAATCAAATGATTCATTCAGTCCAGTGTCCTGACCCCGAGCTAATTTTACTAAATAGCAAGTCTCTCCCACCCCCACCCTCCATTAGCATTACTAATTGCCTTTGTTGCTTTTTTCCCTTTATATTTATCCCAGTTAACAATTAGCCTCATTGTGTAGTGTTCTTAGTAAATGAATGAGTGTATGAAAAGCTACAATATAAAAGAAAGCTTACAGCATTTTTTTTCTGTGCTCTGAGTTTGGGATTTTAAAATGGTGAGGGCATAGAGTGCTAAAACATTACGGAGAAAATGAAGAGTAAAAAAGTATTTTTTGCTCTTCATTTTTGTATTTTTAAACTTGTAGCTATGAAATAAATCAAAAATTTACTTTGGTCAACTCACAATTTATAAGTCCCTGAAGACGCTGTTGCCACTTATGCTAATGGTTAATGGGCTGTGGAGTAATCACATCACTCTGTCTGAACATAAAAGAAACCGGGTGGCGCGCTGAGTCACAACACTTTAATCAGGACACATTTAAAGTCAGCCCTACAGCCTCTCTATTCTTCCTGTGCATTGTTCACAATGGTGCATGTAAAATAGAATAAATTCTAATGACCAGTGTAATATGCATGCTGCATTATACATGGTATTGCCAAAACACAAACAGGTCCCTTTCACCTGCCCGCATAAACACGGTTTATAAAAGTACAGCATAATAAGGCATGTACACACATACACACACTCACAACACTGCCTCATTAGCGACCTAGGACCGTAGCCCTAAAGCATACAATTGGGGAATAATTGCTCAGTTCAGCACCAGTGACAGGGCTCAGAGCAATTTGGAAGCTACTGAAGCAAATAAGTATAAGACAGTAACACCCACAGTTAATATTATCAATAATATATCTTTATGACTGAGATCAGTTTTGAAGCTTTATTCACTTTGAGTTTAGCCTTTCACTCTGCTCTGTGAAAACTCATCACTGCCCAGATATATTATCTTGAGATATGATGGTCTTTCTTCAGAGGAACACCTTTGACTATTTCAAATGTCAAAATAGCCACACCGAAATATACAGCAAATATATTTTTTCCAGGGTTAAATTGAGGCGTTAGCTGCTCAGCTGTCATTTTTCACTATGTTCAGTTATGACTAGTTCTAGAAATATTCACTGCATCCCACCTACATACAGATACGTTAAATAGTACAGCACATACATTTTTTTGCTTTTAATATTAACAGTGTTTGAGTTGGTAAACAAATTGTCAAACGTCTTACTGTTTTCTTTTAGTAAGATGAAAAGTTCACACGAGATGCTTCGCTTCAGAATTGATTACATAGTTATTTCCATAGGTTTTTGAAAAATGACACTTTTTAAATATAATTTTTATATAAATTTAATACAAAGTCCTCCATTTTCATCATTTCATACTCTTTTTTTTATTTAAAATACCACAGCACTTTAGAAGGCTTGAACTTCATCGCAACACAGAGGTTTGCAACAGGGTGTAGTCAATACCTGCAGGGGATGATCAACAAATGTCCTTTTTTATTGAATATAATGATTTGGATGAAGTAATATCTAATGTGGATTGGTAGTTACAGTGTAACAGATGGATACACGTATATCATTGGTTAATACATACTGTTGCATCTGCTCATTAATGTGCCCACATGCCATTCTATTTTTACCTGTGGCTTTTTGAGGTTTATTCTGTTGGGCCTCTTAAATCAAAGCCGTATTAAGTATGAGTAAAGCCTGTAACAATTGTAGAGGAGCTTTGATAAGTTCTAATAAATATCCTCTCACAGAAGTGAAATTAACTCCTGCAGCAAAATAGAACTAAAGCTGTGCCATATTATATCGCTCTTAAGAGGCTGTGCTTTACTACACCCAGGAGGATTTAATGTCATCTCACCATAACTTTGGAAGATGGCTTTGAATTTGCCCTTTAGGCAGTAGCTCTGTGTCTCCATAGCAGATTTCACTATATTCAATAGACTAACATAAAATCTCTGCTACTTTTGACCCTGCATCCATTTCAATTTTTGTCTGCTTTTATTATCTTGCCCTCCTTTTTAACTCCCTGCTGGGTTTGTGGTTTCCCACAGTGCTTGGTAAGTATAAGGTCAAGTAATTTCTCATCTGTACGCGTGTGTGTGTGTGTGTGTGTGTGTGTGTGTGTGTGTGTGTGTGTGTGTGTGTGTGTGTGTGTGTGTGTGTGTGTGTGTGTGTGTGTGTGTGTATAATGTCTATAGGCCAAGAAAGGTCATGAGCTGCCTAAGGGACCAGAAGTGGAGGTCGCGAAAATGGAGAAGCTCCTCAGCCTGCTAAGAGAACCAGACCAAAACTCAGGTTAAGGTGGTCACCTTGGTTTCTAAGCCAAACACAAATAGAGTGTTTCATTGCCGTTCATGAAAAACACTTATTTTGTTCACTCTATTCAGTAAACATCACATGACAACAAACCGATATGTATATGTTTATTAAAATGTGTTCTTCCAGCTTAAGTTAAGATGTCCATCATTTATTCATAATCACATCATATTTGTTGTTGAAATTGCTGTTCTTGGTGCACATTAACCAGGCATTATGATTTGTCTGACCTCCTCTGCAGGCATGTATAAAGCTCATTTCATATGTATGGTACAAGTTAATTAAGCTAAATAGCAAGGGGGAAAGTCACAGCATTGGACAGGGAGATAAATTACCCTACTAGACTGGGCACTTGTGGACCACATCCAAACAACTGGCACACATAGTCCTGGGCACCGTTCCAGGGATGGTAGCCTTTTAATGTTCCATCTACTGAATGGTTTCTGCCTTTATTTTTTGTTTTCATTCCTCTCATTCTTAATGATCTGCAGTAAAGCGCCGCCCAATGCTCTAATGCTCACCTAGAATAACATTTTGCTCTTTGTCTCCCAAGTTCTTTTTCTTTCTGTCTTTCTGCCATAGAGAGTTCCTTTATCCTTTGGGTCTAGATGTGATCACATCCAGCAATTTCTCCCTTATGAGTAATTCATTACATTACAATTTCTCCAAGTGTGGTTGGAGAACGCTGCCTGATCATCTCATGTTTGCAGATGTGTAATAAATGAGAGTGCCTGTGTTGTAGTAATGAGAATGTGGCTGCAGTTATACAGTTATGTTGTTATTGCAGTAATAGGAAGCATAAAGGGTGGAAGCTTGGCTAAAGCACTGCCAGGTTTGCTTATTTTCAGCTTTCTGGGTTCTTGCAGCTGCGTGTATAACACATGAGGATTATATGGAAGTGTGGTCAAGTCTTTAGGGAGAGCACTTCTACTACAAAGGTCATAAATTCACTGAATCTTCGCTAGCATGTCCAGAAAATAATTTCACCCTTAGGGCACTGACTTTTAAGCATCATTATTACGTGATATTCAGCAAGTTTCTGGAATATGTGGCAATTAATTGTTGATCAGTTAATCAGTGATTCATTCAACCTCAATATATTTATGTATTTATATAATATCTAATATATGTTTAAAGATATGAACTTCTTTGTTTTCTGACTTTCTCTAAACTTAATCCATTTACTCATATTGTGTTTCATATGAAAAAGAAAATGATGAAAAGGAGTATATTAGCAGTAGGTATATTTTCACGCATGGAGTAGGAATATATTTTGAGAACCTTTTCTTTCTTACTCCTTTTTGATGTACGTGTGATCTCAGCTGTAATAGTGGAGAAGTGGTTGAGTCTTAATAATTTGCAATGGGATGTTGGTAAAACTGAAGATCTTTACGTGATCAGCGTGTGATTCTGTCCAAAGCGAGCTGCCTGTCACACATGGCTGCAGGCAGATGTCACTATGAGGGCTGCTATTTCAACTAAGCATCGCTAGTTCTTATACAACACCCATAGCAAAAGCACTGTGCCTCACAGTCCACTGATATTTATGAGTGACAGTGACACACACAGACTCCACACGGGCTCAAGTCCCTGTTCTGAGTAACATACTGTTTCTCTTTTTTTTCAGGCCAACATATGAAATAAGAGGATATATATTTAGAAACCTCCAACAAGTACTAGTCATTCTTCATGTACTGAACCCCCCTTTCTCTCAGTCTGTACGTAACCTGCAGACATCCTTGTGACCATGTGTTCCTCTCGAGGCTTTTTGTGTGTGCGTTAAACACAGATTCGCACCGGCACTCCCCCGTGTGTTTTGTCAAACCAGTTACCAGATTTGACAAGTGATCGCTGTTTAAAAATAGTTCTCTCACTCCACAACAACTCATCCTTTCTGTTTTTGTGAGGCATTTCTGATTTTAGAGCGACAGCTGATTTCTTTATTTTTTTTTTTATTTTTTATTTTTTTGACACTAGGAGAGGACAAGCTTCGTTATTGCTTGCAGTCAGGCTCAGTGCTCCTTCACTTCCCTCTCCTGTGGAGGAGTACGCTGAGGTCATAGCTTGTTGCTACACTTGACTCATTCTTCATCAGTCAGGAGGTTAACAGGTACTTGTGCTCGTTCATCTGCTGGGTTTCTGCTTCACTTGGAGCCAGCACAGGCTGCCTTTCTGGGCTAGAAGGAACCCTGCAGGCTCGGTAGAGGATTAGACAGAGGAGGAGAAGGAGGATGGCAACAAAGGTGTTGCAGGCGATGGCCACCAGTGCAGCTGTGGACAGTCCTGTGCTTCCTTCTGATTCCATATTTAAGACTGGACAGCAGTTCCCAGTGATGTTTAACCTAAATTTGAGCTTTTAAGTTGGCTCCTTGATGTCCTTAGTTCATTAGTAAGACCAAGCAGCAGCATATTTATTTAGAAAGCATGAATCTATAGGAGGTGATGTCCACAGAAGAACTTAACATATATCTCCATCATATAGTTAATTATGGTAATTATTGTGGGATAAAATTAATATGTAATATGAACATCAAAGTGGAGTGTTCCCTTCCACAAAGCGCACACTGTATTGTGCAGAATTTTTAGAGAAGACAAGCACAGGAAAGTTGGCTTGCATGTGTCACTTAAGATATGAATGTTTGCTCCTCAAGGTTCTGTTTTTCCTGATAGCTTCTTTAGGGTGACACACCAGTGCTCCGACATACAGAGGAGGCTCGCAGCACTTTCTCCCAGTGATGATTTCACAATAGTCTGTATTGTCAAAACACTGCTTATGATTCCAGTAAACGCCTGCAACTGTCTGTAAGAGAGAAACAAATAGAACAATTAGGAATAATTGAACACCTGTGGAGCATGAAATGGAAAGTGGAGCACAGTATGTCTCAGTTAACTCATCAATCTTTTCAATCAGTCTCCTTCTCCTTGCTGTTCATTGTTTTATATCAGTTTTATACTATATACTAATATATGTGTAACATTTGTACTATTTTTTAATGCCATCTCCGTCTAATTAATGTCTTTTATAATAGAAGTCAGCATTTGAGAGCACACACAGGCACAGAAGAACACAGGGATGAGGATCAAAACACTGGACACATAGGCAGGATGTATAAACAAAAGATTAATTTCAGTTTGACTTGCTGTAAACCCAAATAACCACGAACACGCTCAAAAACACACGAGGAACTGAACACAGGAACACGAGAACAGAGGAAGCAGATAGGAGGAAGCAGGCGTAAACACAGGCTGTGCAGGCAACCTGATAAACAACAGTGATAGGGACAGGATTAGAAACAAACAGGGAACTAATTGAATACAGGTTAAGCTAACATGGGAGGCACCAACAATTAAATAAAGAGGGAAAAAAACAAAGTCTGAAGACAAAACGATGACATCACTCCTCCTCCTCACAGTGTAATGAATTCAGGTCAGACTCAGTGTCCTTCCATTTTGTGGACCGTTATTGTGATAATGCATCAGCTCATTTCCTTAGATGTCTCATTTAAAATGACACAAAAACTTTGTAAAAAGATAATTAGCTCATATCTGTACCTCAGTTTTTTATTTCTTCACTAAACTTGAATTATTATTTTCAGTAAAATATAGTCCTAGAGAGTGTATTTTAAAATAAAACTCATATATCTCAAAGGCTGGATCTTGTGATCTGTGTCAGGATAGGTAATGTGGATTCGAAGATCAGGTTCATGACTTTTTACTTGATGATCAATGATCCTTTTGAGCCATTTGAGAAAGAAAACTTGAGGAAAGCCTTTGCAAGAATACTGACTCCAAAAACTGCTTCATGACTGAACTGATGGCAATTTTGATTTGACTTTGATTTAAAAAAAAAAAAAAAAAAAAAAAAGCCATTCAAACTGTAATCCAGCATGCTAATTTTTTACTACTACACAATATGGTTTGTTTCTACTCTTTACACACTTATTAACCAAATTAATTATCATTTTTAGTAAACAGAAAAGCACACTGTATTGCCTGAACAGACAGAAATCCCCTACTTTGAGGAAGAAGTGAGAAAGAGTGTTCAGTAAGACTGTTGACTTAAAAAAAAAGATTAAAAAATCACCAGAGTAAATTTTACTGTATCATATAATAAGTCACCTTGTTTCCCCGAGAACAGTCAACTAAACTTAGAAGGTGGATTCCAGATATCTTCTTTATTGTGAGTATTAATATATTATATATAAAGTACTATTACCAAGGATTTTCTCAGTTAACCATGCAGAACAATGGTACTGTAGTGGTATATTGAACTTACTTTCAAAACAAATGCTGAACCTCAACACTAGCTCATAAATGCTACTGGTAAACACTAAATCATTACTGGCCAGAGGATTCTTGGGCAAGGTAGCTAGGTAAACCTCACCACTGTTTTCAATCATGCAAACACTAAAAACAACACATCTACAAGGTCTAAACTCAAAATTACCGAAATAGCATTAAATCGGTCATGATGGTTAGCCACCCCTGGTATGAATGGAACATCTGTTTGGAGCTATATGAAAGCCTTCCCTTCCAGCTGAGTGGCTACGCAGGCAGCGAAAGGGAGCATATGCCCCATTTGTACACAATTATGCACACCATATCTACTGTGTTAAGCTTAAATTTTATACAGCCGCCGCTAGGTTGATGCAAATTGATCGCAGGCCACTGTAGCTTCACATGCACCAGCTCTGCTTGCACACGAGAATTCGATTTCATCTGGCTCCACAACCACAGCTAATAGAGTTAGCGCTGCTTTTGAAGCAATAATATCAGTTTGTGATTGTTACTAATCCAAATCAACCAATGGACTGTGCATTCCTACTAATCGCATCCTGTTTCCCTGCATAACTCACATGCTACAAGCTCGCTGCACACTGTGCACTTTGATTCACCAAAATAAAGTTGTGGTAACCTACTCTCTCCCCCTCTCTCTCTCTCTTTCTCACACATACATGCATACATGGTTGCTGTGCTCATCTTTCTTGACAACTGAATATCTTTAATAAAGGTGGACCAGTTGCTAATGTAGATGCACATTAACCAGACAGAAATTCACTCCCATTATTTTCCCATTTGGAGGATTAGCATGTCAATATGTTTACACTGCAAAAGCACTTACCAGTGAACAGTGAACTTATGTTGCGTGTGAATAGTGTTGTCCCGAAGATCGCTTTTTGAATCTTGTTACTTTCTAAAAACATGAAAATTCATTTTATTTGTGAATATTTTATTGTAAATGAAACACGTCACTTCATTTTACTCATTGCTATCATCATTGCCATGTAAAAGCACAGAGGCATCTAGAGTTTAAGGCACTACAATCGTCGCTCATCACTGATCTTGGGATTTGAGGCCTGTCCTGATCTTTGCTCTGCATTCTCAAGTTAGTGCTGAATAGCATGAGTACAGCCACTTCCCGTGAGGAAAAAAACGCCTCTTCAAACCCAGTGAATCACATGGATATAACCCTCTATGTGTTATTCACGTGACTCAGTTGAATCTAGCATGATTTCTATCAATCAGTCTTAAATCTGCTTGTCTCACCTAACTATTGAGAAGCCCTTCTAATTCCAATATCTGCATGGAAGTGACAGCGCTGTCACACCTAGACTCGCTATCACCTCTTATCAGTCTCATGTTAATCAGAGTCCCCTGCGTCAGTTGATTTCATACCCCCACATGTGCAGTTGGAGATCTGGCTGCCTGCAGAGTGTGACAGGTGGATCTGATAAAGTCACAGAACATTTGATCTGGATTTGGTGCAGCCTTCAATCCTCAGGTGGAAAGGAAGCTCCATTTTTTTCACTCTTTAGTGATTAAGGAGGATACCTCAGTCACAACTGGTGATCTCCCCCTGATCTCATAACTCGCTGCATACTTAAATAGCACCAGCTGGCCCCAGTCCTATGGAAAACATAATTCTAATAACAATCTTAACTTCAAAACACTAAGAATGTTAAGACTTTCCAATTTGTTTTTATCACGCTATGTGTTGCTATGGAGCAAAGTCTTACATTCACAGTAGTTGCACACTTACCCGACACACTGAGGCATCAGTTTTTCTACTGTTCTTTGAATAAATATCCCAGCGTATAAGTCAGCCATCTTCCATTATTCACATGGATAACAGTTCCTTCTCCAGCTGTCTGCCATACTCTGCTCTCCCCTCTGTCTCCCCCGTTTCTTTTCCTTCTCCACCTGCTCCGCTGCACTACAGACAACTGAAGACGAGGCAGGACTGCGCACTGTCTGCCAGAGAGCTCTCCAACAGCAGAGATTCAGAGGGGCGAGAGGGAGAGAGAGAGCGAGAGCGCGAGAGGAGGGGCCGTGCAAGTGGATGTCAGCAGTGATATCAAGCGTAGGGAGAGGGGAATGGTTTGGATGTAATTACACAGGCCTCCTGCTGCAGACAGGAGGAGGGGGTGTGAAGGTTGTTACGGGGAACAAGCAAAGCTGCCTGTCAGACAAAACAATGACTTCTGCCTTGCATCGCAGTTCACAGTATGGCCAAACAAATAATTTCAGCTGTCAAAAGCAGGAAACTGGGAATCAAACAAGGAGAAGCTAAATTAAGACTCAATCATAGACATGGTTTGTGGAACTCCGAGCACAATGCTCATAACTAATCTTCTAATTGAGGGCCCGGTGGCGCCTGTGTCTGGCAGCCTCGCCTCTGTCAGTGCGCCCCAGGGCAGCTGTGGCTACAATGTAGCTTGCTATCGCCAGTGTGTGAATGTGTGTGTGAATGGGTGAATGACTGAATGTAGTGTAAAGCGCTTTGGGGTCCTATGGACTAGAAAAGCGCTATACAAATGCAGGCCATTTACCAAAGTGTCCAGCAGCACCTTGTCCACTTTGATCCTACAAGTGTCCCTGACCCCGTGGAGTGTAATAGTGATCCATTTATGTTTTTTTAATATGATTTACTCCAAGTGGAAAAAAAATAAACTTTTAAGTCAGAACATATGTTCTCTTCTTTTGCAGCTTATCTCAATACTACAATCAAAGTGTCAACACATCACTGCGGTTGAAAGTTCCTGTAAGTAACAGTATCATATGAGCTGCATTAACACAGAGATGTAGTCAAGACTACTAAATATCTGAATAAGCAGAGTGAGACAATCAGTAATGCAGCATTTGTGGCGCACACAGCATACCCTCATGTAACAAGACACCAAACGAGGAGATCGTGTTCTGTTGCAAAAACAGGTTTCTGCTGCAGATTCGGTCAAATTGTTCTGTCCCGTGATCTTTTATTGTTCAGGTTACTCCAAGTTTGACACGTTTGAGGTCAGTGTGGTGTATTAAGAAGTATTTATAGCAATGTATGATGGGTTTACTTGATTAAACTTGTCTGATTACAGCCAATTCTGGTCGATAGAATCGTAATGTTACAGTTTGCTGTGGATGACTAAGCGCACGTTAACGTTAACACATTTCAGTCAGACTAATATAAAAGAATCCGTCCTCTGTTTTCATGGCTCACTGTCAGAAGCTAGAGACACTAGAGCATTTAGCTTGAGGCCCCTCTGCAGGACAAAAGAATAATGACAGGGCAAACAAATGTGATTACTGCTGGCTTTAGGGTGCTGCTTTGGACCTGTGTTGCAAAAGGAATTGTGGAGTCATTGTCAGATTTTACCATGCTTACAAAAGCATCTGCATTGTGCAGTAACTGATTTCGTATCTATTTTCTGTTTGCTTTTCTGTATACTGTTGGTGATTCACCTGATTAGGACCCAGTATGTTGAAAATGTTATGGCTTTTCAGTCTACAAGGTGTTGTTTTCAGTGTGTGGACAATACGCACTTGTCCTATTATTGGCTTCTCTTTCAAACAACATGCCGCATATTGTCAGATTAAATATTTGTGCCTTGTAATTTACAGATCTAATTTTAGTCTTGCTGTTGCGCTTTTAAACATCACGACATGTAGTTCGTAAGGCTTTCAATTTCTGCTGACTGTTGTCCAGATAGCAGTGCGCTGTGCTGCACAATCTTGAGAACTGTTTAGGAGAGATAAGGTTGTATAACGTTCTCTGTGTCTTTCACGCTGACCTGCAGTGTGGCTTTTCCACCTCTGTTTAATGCGCATTTGTATTTCATGGTTCAGTGGGGTTACCGTTCTATTTTAAGTTTTCATTTAATTTAACGAAATACCCAAAAAAGCACAGTTATCCTTAAATAAGATGTTCATGAAGTCAATGTTTCAGTCGTATGCCGCTTCCTGAATGTACTGAAAGTTTGACTTTGTCTGTGGTGTGTCTCATTTTTTTCAGCAGTCAAGCAGTGTAAGATTTAAGTATTTTAAAATGTACTTCTATCACTTTGGTGTGCCACTTTTTATGTGTAATGTATGCAATACATCGTCGTGTTTGTCTCTGAATAGAAGTTACAGTCTTTATGGTTGCCTTTGCATGATAATTTTTGTAATTTCCTGGAGCACAGATACTTGGGGGCCGCTGTAGCAGCGCACCGAGCCGAAACACGCCCACACGTAGAGTTGATTAACATAACTTATCAGAATGGAACTGTAAGGCTGCAGGACGTGCAGTTCACACAAACAATCTGTTTTCAAACTGGCTGCACTTTTTAATTCAGTGAAGTCGTGCTAGTCTAAGCCTGCATTTGCCTTTGTGTAGAGTGTGATGACGTAGCAGAGATACAGGACAGCCAAGCACACCCAGTCAACTGTGCTGGCACAGTTTGTTCCCAGGTAGCGCTGTGATTAATACATACATTTATGTCATCACATGCAGTGATTCCACTTATATTTAACTGTGGTGATTGTAGTGTTGTGTGTGCTTTGGCCTTTTTAACATTGCAGGGTTTCCCTTAGAGCCCGTTTTACTAAATTCCACCTAGTTAGGTTCAAATATGCCCCTTCACAACTTTAACCCTGAATGTTAAAAAAATTATGCTTACCCAGTAGTACTGTACAATAGTACATTATAAATCTTTGCTTTGAGTAACAATTTGACTTCTCACACTCACACTTGGTTGTGATTCTGTTTTACGATGGAGACATATAACACTGGCTGCTTCATCAATATCACATTTACAGTAGTGATGGTGATTTTGAAAATAAAAACTTAAACTAGAAATGTTGCCAATGAGGTGCAATGTTGTGCTTTTCTACTTTATAATGGTGTTTAGTTCTCAAGATTAATCGTGACCTTGCCTGTATAGCTGCATGCAATTCATACGTCCAGCTGTGAAAGTAATATATATAAATGAATGAATTTGTTCTCGTTAGATTGCTGTGGGTGATCATACAGACATGAGGATGACAGACTAATTGGAGGGAGTTTGTGTCTAAAAATGGGCTATGTGCACAATATCCTTATAACAGGTGAACAATGGCTGCATGTTGATTTACTTGAACAACCCTGTGGTGAGCGGATCAAATGTAAACACTGGTTCAGTCAAAGGATACAGTTCAAGGAAATCTGAACTTTTGTACAGGGGAGTTAATGTGCTAAAGACCACAAAGTTGTTTCATCTTAACTGCTTGCCCAGGTAATAAACACAGTTTAAATCTATTACTTGACCATTAGGTCGTACGGTTGCCATAAAAAGTTTTCCGTGTGGTGGAATTTAGCATCTAACTGCACGTACGTCACACATGGTAAATGTCAACAGCCATTGTTTGTGTTCTGTGTGATCACAGTTTTCATGCACAGGACAAATTGCAGCACGTCAGAAAAAAAGTTTTTGGTTTGTGCTTAAAGTATATATATTTTTTTTAATTAGTCTCAGTTGGAAAAAAAATTGCAGGCCCATAAAAAATGAACAAAAAAATGACAATAGTATAAAAAAATGTTGACCCAAACATTTTTTTCAGCACCATTTCATAAGCCTGAGCGCATTACATTATTAAATTCTTACATAACAGGGTAATCATCTCTCTCAACAACCATCCACCTAAACTACCATTAGCATCTGTAATGATCAGGACTTGGGAGTGCTTCACGAGGCCAAAGTCATTGTCGGCATAAGCAGCATCATTGTTGACGTGGGTGTCTTTGAGCTCCCCTATTAACACAGCAGACTTCTACAAATACAGGCTGACATTTTCTCAAACGACTGCAAATGTATTTTATCAAATGTGCTGACCTTCAGCGTCAACAAATTCAATTTCATTGTTAGTCAGTTAGCATTAAATGTAACGACGATGGCGTTCAAGGTAGCACTCTTCAGATATTATGGATTGTATTCAGGGTAAAGATGAGGTCAGGCCCCCAACTTTACTCTTGTGTTTGATGCTCACACACTGTCCCCGACAACATTTCCAGAAGGTAAAACTATAGCTATAAAAACCCACTGGACCTTAAATAGAGCACAGCTAACAGGCAGTCTAAGCTGTCTGGTCAAACCAGTGGAGGGTTTCACAGTGAAAGCATCACAGCAAAAATAGAGCTGCGAGAGAAATGGATATTAAAGTTCATGATCCAAATGTATCTGAAATAGGCTACTGTGTCTATTTGTTATCTATCTAGCTTATGCCATTTACCCCAAAGCATGTGACCTAATGGAATTTTTTTTTAAATTGAGGCAAAAGTCTTTAATTCTGAGAAACAATATACATTTTGAAAATTAACAACAGTACCCATTTTTTCACCCATCCATCAGTCCCATTCTTTGGAACACAATAGAAATAATTAATTATAATCATAATTAATCAGATTTGACAGTCATTCACCGTCACTAAAAGGAAGAACTGATTTGGTTTTGGTTGTCAAGGGTCAACAAAACACTTTCTTGGTAATAACACAAGAATTAATTAATATCACAAATGTCCGATAGGATAAACATGGTGACATTTCATATTGAAAAGGCCATCAGTTCCATCATAATGTTTGTAAAAACTCTGTAACCCAGAAAACAGATGGAAATCTCCCATTTTACCTATCCTATAGATGCATGTGGTAAGCAGTAATATTTAGGTCAGCTGTGGTGTTTAAACAATGGTAATTGGCATTCAGGTGCCCCAGAAAGTAACCCCCACACAATTACATGACAGTACCAGCCTGAACTGTTGATACAAGCCATGATGGATCCATTGTCTCATGTTGTTTTACCCTAATTGTGAGCCTGCCATCCACATATTGTGGCAGAAATTGAGACTCATCAAGCTAGGAAACATTTTTCCAGTCTTCTGTTATTCAGTTCTGGTGAGCCTGTGTGAACTGTAGCTTCAGTTTCCTGTTCTTAGCTGACAGGAGTGGCACACAGTGTGCTCTTCTGCTGCTGTAGCTGATCTGCTTCGAGGTTCAACACGTTGTACATTCAGAGACGCTCTTCTGATTCTTTACTTTTGTGCTGATCCCAGCAGATCAGCACTTTCTGAAATAGTCAGACGATATTAAATTCCAGTCATCATTAAACTATATGTGACTAAGCGGACATGAATTCAACCTGACTGGCTGGCAGATGCATGGTAGAAATTCTAGTCTTAGTATGAAAAAAGAAGAAAGGACCTTTTCGTTTTTGAATATCAGGTATCTAAATGCATATCGCTCTTTCTCTGCTTGCACAGCATCGTTCCCACAGTGATCCTATTTCATTTATTCCAACTAGATCAAACTGCTGCCGGATAGGAGGAATGTGTCATGCGATATGTACACATGAAGGGTCTATGCAGTGCTAATGGAAGCAACTTGTTTGAGTGGCCTATTTATGCGCACCTCGCATGAGTCATGGAGTGCTCTCCAAATTTACCGGCCGTAATGCGGCCAACAACACAACAGTACAGCTTCATGATGAATTATTGATGTGAATGCAAGCTGAAAAATAATATGATTCACTATTCTTGTGCTCACAAAGATGGAAGTCATAATCTCTTTTTGAGGCAACATGAAACATATAAATGGAAACTATTTTAATTAATTGTGCATGTGTGAAATTTTCTTCGGCACATATTATGGTCGTCATTTTCCTGTCACAAAGTCTGTCTTGATCCCTTGATAATCTTACAAAGTGCTTTTCAAGTCGCCTTATCCCCGCGCTCATTTTATCTTTTTTTTTTCCATCCCGTCCTTTCGCGTTTTGCTTTGGTGTGACATCAAAGAGGTTGCACTACAATCACGCTGCATTTCTCTTTCAAGTAAAGGGAGATAATAGAACAAGATTACTGCCAAAAGTGATTTGTTAAGTGCATTAGAATAACTGCTGAAACTTGGCAGCGGGCCTGTTACATCAGAGGGACTGCTATGAATTGCACCTGCAAGTAGGAGATAGGTTTGAAAGAAGAAGAAGAAAAAACACTGCATAACTGCAAACCAAATTGCAAAATGCAGATTTTAGTTTCTCTATATGTGGAGCATGTATGTGTAATACGTCTCTCCCTGGGGACCAGGGAAAGCATCATTACCCTGCAGATAGCTGTGCAATATATGAAAACAGTCTGAAAGGCTTGTTTTTCAGTAGCAACAAGAAAACAGTTATGAGTCATGAGTTGAGACTGAAATGGACGTACAGGATCATGACTCTCCCGCTTAAACCCGTCTGAATCATCCCTTTATTCCCTCCCACCTTTAGGCCACTTTATGTTGCTTCATGAAAGGATGAGTTTTGTTTGACCATGTGAGAGGCTGAGCAATCTGCCACACAGAGGGCAGATCTGCTATATTTAGCTGGGCATATGCTGCGACATATCAAACTACAGGGAAAAGTCCCGGCATGGAAGGTCGTAGTTCAAGGCTCAAGTTGTGAACTTGAGGCTGTGCAGGTCTGTATAAATACTTTGAATTGTGTGTATTCAGGGTAAATTATTGAAAAGCGATAGGTCGTAGGGTCTAACAGGGTGCAGACATAGAGATCTCAAATGCATGTAACATGATGCTTGGTTTGAGTTTACTTTTATGTGATTGTAATGCCAAATTTTACTCAGTCGTGACAGACCACACAGGAAGGAACGCAACTGCAGCAATAGCTCTTCAGTCAACAAGACGGAATAATTAAAGTGGCAAGAAATGTCTGGAACTGATTTTAATACACATATATTTTTAAAAATGCATTTAGGCAGCAGGCTCGTGCGAACACAGCTGAAGAAAAAGAGTAAACACCAAATGCCAAATATTCTAACATCCAGTCCAAATATGGGGCAAGTCCCCCCAAAATATTACAAGATACTTTATTTCCCATTGTGTAGTATCTTCAGGAGTTCTCTCATCAGACCCTTGCTGTCTGGTAAATGCAAGCAACTTTTAAACCTCACAGCCTAAGTTTGTAACACATCTTTAAGTCTCATGAAAAAAAAAAATATATAATAAAAAAACAGCAATTGTAGATAATCATAAACACGAGGCACAAAGTCAGGGATATAACTTGTAATATAATTTTTCCAGCATTGGTTTACATTTATATTAACTGCTGTGTTTATAATCAATCATCACACTAGGCAAATAAAGCTACAGAAGCAGAACTTGTGACTGGATTTGATTTCACAATTGTGTGTTTTAACATTTCTGTCATCAGAGGAAAAATTAATTTATTCTTCTTATGAATTATTTATTCTTCCAAAAGTCTCTGTGTGAACCATGGTGGCCGCCGATACGCTGCACTGCGATACACATATTTCACATGCTCTTTGTAACTGCTACAGGAATGAAAATAACATTTGTTTGTTTACACAATCATTTTCATAATAATTCCAGGTTTGATGCACAGCAGGGGATTATCTATAAATACAGTGAAGCTAATTAAGACACTCTGTGTTCTTAAAAAGGTCAATTGGGCTTCTACCTCGGAGAGATACATTTGTAAGTTATACTCTACACGCCTAAATTATTTTCATATTTCATTGTTATCAGTTGTTGTCTTTTCAGATTCTTTATCCACCATTGTGGTTTAACATAACTGGTTTTATTATCATTAAAGAAGGCATTACGTTCAGGATCTTTATCACTCGAGCTATGAGCAACAGTAAACAGTGGATTGTTTACACCTTTGTGGAAAGCTGCCTTTTGCAATCAAATCTGGAAAGACATTAGTCACTGAAGTCTACATGCCCACCAGATTTTACATTCACTGATTTTTTGTAAGGAACAACATAGACAGTAAAGTAAGCACTGTACAGGCTAAAGTAAACATGAGGTGAGTCTGAATCCTTTCGTTGGCACCTGAGCTCGTAATGAGTCTTCAACTCTCTGCTCTCTCTGCATCCACTGCACTAAAAATCCATCTGCAACACAAAGTACATTAAATGAATGACTAATTTTTCTATATTATATGTAGTGGTGAATAGTCAGTAGTGGCAAGTCTCCCATGTACAATTAAATCTATATATTATATTTATTCGATATGCATTACATGTTGTACACTGCTCCAAAAATTAAAGGTACACTCTGTAATCAGAGTATTGATCTGGTCAGTTAAGTAACAGAAGCTTTTGTTAATTAGTTTCAGCTGCTTTGATGTTAATTAAATTAACAGCAGGTACACAACAGGGACAACAGTCAAAACAGGATTTTTTTTATTACTAAACAAATATGTTGGACTGCTTTCTTCCATTTGCACAACATCTCTAAAATTAGAAATATCCTGTCTCAGAGTGACGCTGAAAAACTTCATGCATTTATTACTTCCAGGCTGGACTACTGTAATTTTTTATTATCAAGATGTCCTAAAAACTCCCTGAAAGCCTTCAGCTAATCCAAAATGCTGCAGTAAAAGTACTGACAGGGACTAGAAAGAGAGAGCATATTTCTCCTGTTTTGGCTTCCCTTCATTGGCTTCCTGTTAAATCCAGAATTCAAAATCCTGCTCCTCACATACAAGGTCGTAAATATTTAGGCCCCATCTTGTCTTAATGACCTTGTAGTACCATATCACCCTATTAGAGCACTTCGCTCTCGCTCTGCAGGCCTACTTGTTGTTCCTAGAGTATTTAAAAGTAGAATGGGAGGGAGAGCCTTCAGTTTTCAGGCCCCTTTTCCGTGGAACCAGCTTCCAGTTTGGATTCGGGAGACAGACACTATCTCTACTTTTAAGATTAGGCTTAAAACTTTCCTTTTTGATAAAGCATATAGTTAGGGCTGGACCAGGTGACCCTGAATCCTCCCTTAGTTATGCTGCCATAGGTGTAGGCTGCTGGGGGATTCCCATGATGCACTGAGTATTTCTTCTTCAGTCACCTTTCTCACTCACTATGTGTTTATACACCTCTCTGCATTGAATCATACTTGTTATTAATTTCTGTCTTTCTTCCACAGCATGTCTTTTGTGCCCTCCTTCTCCCCTCACCTCAACCAGTCGGAGCAGATGGCCCCGCCCCTCCCTGAGCCTGGTTCTGCTAGAGGTTTCTTCCTGTTAAAAGGGAGTTTTTCCTTCCCACTGTGGCCAAAGCGCTTGCTCATAGGCGATCGTATAATTGTTGGGTTTTTCTCTGTATGTACTATTGTAGGGTCCACCTTACAATATAATGCACCTTTAGGCGCCTTCAGCATAGCCTCAAAAGCTTGGAGGAGAATCCAGGAGAGCTGGACCGGGCTGTAGAAGGTCCTTAGCCCGTCAGCAGGAGTAACTGCTCGATTGTGCAAGAAGAAACAGAATGAGGACTACAGAATGACCTCCAGCAGCCCACTGGTGTGAATATCTCTGACCAAACAATCAGAAACAGTTGTCATGAGGGTGGCTTGAGGGCCTGACGTCCTCTAGTGGGCCCTGTGCTCACTGCCCAATATCATGAAGCACACCTGGCATTTAGCCTAAAATACTGGAATTGCCAGGTTCACCACTGGCGCCGTGTGCTTTTCACAGATTAGAGCAGGTTTACCCTGAGCACATGTGACAGACATGAAAGGGTCTGGAGAAGCCTTGAAAAATGTTATGCTGCCTGTAACAATTTTCAGCATAAGTAGTTTGGTGGTGGGTCAGTGATGGAGGCATATCCATCAAGGGACACGCAGACTTCTACAGACTATGCAACGGCATCCTGACTGCCATTAGGTATCAGGATGAAATGCTTGGACACATTTCAGACCTTATATTGGTGCAGTGTTCTGGGTTCCTCCTGGTGTACGATAATGCCCAGGCTCATATGGTGAGAGTATGCAGGCAGTTCCCTGGAAGGAATTGATACCACTAACTGGCCACCACACTTGCCTGATCTAAATCCAACAGATCACCTCTGGGACATTATGTTTCAGACAATCCAGTGCCACCAGATTGCATCTCAGACTGTCCACAGTTTCAGTGATGTCCTAATCCAGATCTTCCAATCTCATTAGAAGCATGCCCTGATGTTATCAGGCACGCATACAAGCACATGGGGGGCTACACGAGCTACTCAGTACCATCAAACGATGTGGCGTCCTTTTATTCCTAACACATTAGATCTAAGTGTTCCTTTAAATTTTTTTGAGCAGTGTATATTATATATATTTAATGTGACCTTTTACGCTGTAATATTAAGGTTCCAATAAAAGATTAGGCTTGTATTTGTCACCCTCATTCAAGTCAAGTCAAAAATCATTGACTTGACTTTCACTAATACGCATGACAATAATAATAGTACTAACATAACTCATGAAATTAGCTATGTGTAGGGTCATGTCTCAAGTTATAGTTGCAATATTCCAATATAAAGTTTTTAGAAATTCACTTGAGAAGTTTTTATGAGTGGCAACAGTGCTGAGGCTGTCTTACTGTGGTAAAATGAACAGTGCAGGAGATGGCGATGATGAGAAGCCCGATGATGACTGAGGCAATAGCCACATAGAGCGCGTTCCTGCCCAGCCGCCTGGAGCCTTCGTAGTCTCCGCTGTAGTAACTGTTTCTAGACTGGAAGAGAGAAATCACTGTAAAGAGTAAAAACTCACCGGCAAATCTGCTAAAAACACAAAATGTAGTACGCAGAGCTCTCTGAAAAGTCTATGAAAAAAGTTTAATCAGTGGTTTTGTTTTTTGTTTTTTTTTATTTGCCAAGTGAAAGTTTATTTCCATCAACAGGCAGCATGAAAATGTAATTTTCCAAAGCGGAAGATGAAGTAAGTTTGTTTGATGGGCAGAGCAGGTGTCTGTGTGACTGGGTTACATCTTAGGGTCCAGCACATCAGAACACTGTGTAAGCGTTACATTTAAAGCAGCCTGGACAAGAACATGTTTCATTTCTCTCTGACTCATTATTTCCTTAATATTAGAGCACAGAGCATGCATAGTCTAACACAGAGGCGTGGGCAATTCATTCTCCCAAGGGGCCACGTGACACACTGGAACTGTTGTGGAAGACCAGAGCAATAAGCTGAACTCTGCTCAGTATTTATCTCTTTATAAACTGCTACTGGTAAGAGTAGATGCTACTATCAGTCGTTAGCTGTGGGCTCTTGGGAAAATTAATTGCCCGCCCATGGTCTGACATGATATTAAAACCCCATCAAGTTTTATTGTTTAGACTTACCATGATAGAGAAGACCAAAGCCACAATGTTGACGGGGTATGCAGGACAAAAGCATGTAAAAATGGTCAAACAAAGGTAGCTTTGAAGAGGAGGTGGTAGTTCCTCTACATAACCACTGTCGAAAAATTCGCTCCCACTTAAGGAGCTCTTTAACTGTGGATTTAGCACTCCAAGTGCCATCGAATCTGACAGCAAGAGGTGAAAAACCGAAATTTAAAAATGTTACAGAGAAAACAGAAGCTAAAAGAGTGTTCTAAATACAGCAGGAGGGCGTTTAAGTCTAACTTTTAACTTTGGAAAAAAATAATGAAACCAACAGCTTAAAACTCAGCTTGAAAAGTCTGGTCTTGTATACCGGGTCTAATCCTTCCTCAAAGCTGGGAAAAAATGAAGTTTGTAGGGAGAGAAGGCGAAGCAGAGCTGGGAGAGGATCACTAACCCTGCTGGCCTCCATCCAGAACTCTGAACCTGATAGAAGTGTGAGGGATCAGACTGTTTACCACTGCTGGCAGCCCACACAAACATAGTCACTGCACTGCAAGATGGATTCATGTTCTTAGCACAGCACGACACATGCATGGAACTTCTGATGAAACAATGCACCCTGTTTTTTAGTTTGTCGGGTTAAAGACTGTGAAAATTATGAATATGGGAACAAGTCCTTCAGGCATATTCACTGTATTTGTTTACTCTGTCAACTCTATCCATGCAGTTTTGGTGAAAGTTCTGTTGTTAAATTTGCTACCGAAGGGAAGTCTATGAATACTTCAACCCACCAAAATTGGGAGGACTTTCATAGACTACAGGTAAAAGTGGATGCAGACTTCTTGCAAGACTTCTTGTTGTTTCGTTCAGTACAGGAGTCTTTGTGGTGGGTCAAAATGTAACTTTAATATTCTGCACTTGTAGTTCTATCAAGTGTGACAAGATACCCAACACCACTGGCTGAAATGTAGCCCCAAACCATGACAGAGCCTCCACCATGCTTGACAGATTTTCATGCCAGTTGTTTTTTCTCTGTTTTCCTTCCTTAAAAATGGCTTCTTGACAGCTTTCCTCCTACTGAGACTATTTCTGATGAGGCTTCAGCTAACAGTAGATCAAGATCTGTATCTCTTAGGTCCTATGTCAGGTCTTGGCTGAATTGTTTTTTAAAGACATGACTTTCAGGTATTATTCATCTGCTGTAGATAGTTCTTTAGGCCACTTCCTTTTTTGTCCTCCACCGCTTTCAACAAATTTTTTACAGACATGCAGCACACCTTGCTGAGATATGCCAAGTTTTCAGATAATAGCAGCTTGGGAATCACGGTGTTGGTGCTAAAATATGTCTATGTCTGTCAATCTATGTTACCTTTGGTATTTTTTATAGAGTCAACTAAAAAATGGGAACGAATTATGTGTTTTTGTGACAGGCTGCTAGTAACAATGTGCCTAAAGATAGGATTCTCTGTCACTCATCACTGGAGTTAGGTGGAGTTTATATGTTGGAATGACTCACAGTCCAGCGTTTAGTAGTTTAAATTAACACAGACCAAAATGTTTTTCGCACCAGGCTGCAAACATGTTTATCCCTACTGTAAGGTTGTGCATTTGATTAAGGGAGCGAATCCAGCCTCAAATAGCCATTCTGTGAACTGCAACTTTTGGCACTCGTGTTTTGGCTTCATTTTTCAGCCTCAGCAGTTGAAGTTTGGCAGTTACATACGCTGACTATTTGTGCCAGTATACCAATTTAAGAGGTGGCATTTGCTCTTAAGATTTCAAACACGCAGGTCAGTTCACATGACTTCAGTGCGCATGTGAACAAATGTTGGGTTAAAAAAAAAAAGGAGTCACAAACACTTTAGAATAATTTATTAGGATTTTCAAATTGAAACTGTCAGGAAAAAAACAAAGAAAAAAAAGAAGAAAAAAAAAGAAAAGCATTGCTGTAAAGCTTGGCGGGGGACAGCCCAAATCTTAAACTTTAACCGAGCTCATGTAGAGCTACAAACTCCATTCAAAGCATTGGCCCTTTTCCTTACAACAGCACAACAAAAGACATCATTAAAATCAATATACAAGGGGAACAAGATCTCAAAACAGAAAAATATAGTTTCTTTTTTTTCTGAAAATAAGTCTTAATGCCGCAGAATTATCCACTTGTCGTCTGCTATTACCAATAATAGTACTATTTTCATTTGTAAGGTAAAAAATAACTTATTGCTTTATTGTAAGTTAAAAAGTTACAGTGTTGGTGTCCAGCAGTAGTTTGTTTTTTTTTTTCTTTTATCATGTCCCAGCCCATCTGACAGAGGAACTACTGGCTGGATCAGGAAGTTTTCTGCTGTGCTGAACATCAAACAGGCTGCAGCAAGAAGGCTGAACAAACAGGCTACTTGTTTTTGCAAAGGTTGAATTTGTTCCAGCTTTTTGACTTTTCCTGCCAGCCAGCGCCGTCTTGTACTGAGGCCCCCGTATCAGAGCCGACTGGGAGCGAGACCCTGTCCCATTTCTGGTTCCCTGCCCAAAACCCTGTCTGTTCACCACCACACTGAGCAGCAACTATATATAAACAGTTATCTGTTGGTTCCAGAGGTGCACAAATTTATTAAAACGAAGTGTGGAATGGGAGAGAGTCAGGGGGGAGAAGAGCAGATGAACCCAAATGGAGCAGGGCAAACGTTCTGTTTTTTTTTTTTCAGTACCAAAGGAAAAAAAGGCAATCAAAACGCTCCTTCGCTGACGAAAGTAGTTCCATATTACACCTTGATGTATGCGCACAAACACTCACTCGCACGCACGCACGCACACACGCAGACGCAATCACATGCACCTTCAATAGTGATAAGAGGAAAGAACATGATCGTGATTTTTCTACAACTGCTTCTCTGAGAATGTCCTTCATTTGTTTGTCACGGTGGAGAACACCGCATAAAAGAATTTTCTTAAAAGAATTAAAATAAACAAAAACATTAAGAAGAGAAACGCGCAAAAAAATATATATATAATATTTTCAAAAATCAGGAAGTGAAGTCAAGTCCCGAATCGCCAGAAACCCCTTATTTCTCCTGTTTTAAAGTTGTTAATCATCCAAAGTCCCATCGTGGTTTCATAAACTGTTTTCCACGAAGACGCAAGAGACAAATTCGCTTATTTTTTTCTCTCTCTTTTTTTTTTTGAAAGACTTAAATCAAACAAACAAAAATATGACCTGGTAACAAACAAACAAAAATGTGTCAACTGAAAAAAAATATGTCAGACAAGCTCCTGGAAGTTTATTCGCCAACAGCTATCCTGGATAGCGTTGCGCTGAAGTGACGCTAGAGTGGACTGCCCCACAGTGTACACATAATGGCGTATGCATACCCATAAAAGTAGTGAGATGACCGCAGAGAGTAGTAAATGACATCCAGTCAAATTGCTGTTAACCCTTTTCCAAACCAACCAATGACATGCCAGCCGGTTCAGTGACCCCTCCCTCCCACACCCATCCCACACCCACCCTACCTCACCCAATGTCTATTTACAATATTTTACAGGAAGACATAAAAACATTGCTTTAAAACCAATTACAGAATAAAATACCTTACAGATTATTATGTCAATATTAATAACAATATTACAAAGGGTTTTTTTTGTTTGTTTTTAGAGACTACCAAAATATACATTTAACTTTTGTTGTTGTTGTTGGTTGTTTTTTTTTTCCCTCCATGTTTCTGTGAGACTCGAGTTAAAAAAAGGACTGTGTTGGATTTGTTCTTCCTTTGTTAAAAACGGCTTTGAGACCCATCTCATCTCGCACAGCTTTCTTTTTTTTGCCTTCTTTCTGCTTCTGTTAACATCAGCACGACAGCTGGGAAGGATTCACGATGGAAGTGAAGTTTAAAATGACGATAATAAAAACTCAAAATAGTTGTCTGTGTCTTTGTCAACGGTGACAAATGTTTCCTCGGAGATTTTTTTTTTTTTTTTTTTTTTTTGCAGTTTCTTTTTCTCAGCTTCAAAAGGAAAAAAATGGATAACTGAGGGGGGAGAGGGGGTGGGCTCTAGTTATTAGACTACATGATGAGGACAAAAGAGGAGAAAACAGGGAAGTTATGTTGAAGTGAGATTAGTACAGCAGAAACAAGAGTTCTGGATTTAAAAAGATATTCAGTCGGTGGGCGGAGCCATATGGAGCCAGGAGAGCCCGGTAAAGAGCCGGTGGCCGGCCAATCAGGTTGTGCCATCAGTGGGCAGTCAGCATTGTGATTGGCTCATCAGCAGAGGAGACGCCCTCCCATCCCTCGGTGACCTGAGACTTCTCAGTGGTAGCCATTAGTGAAGGCAGTAGCAATCAGAGGACCCTGAGGACACACACATACACACACATAGAGGCAAAGATGAATACACTTCTAGCAGCTTTGTCAACACACGTGTGCATTCATGCATGCATGTAAGTCTGAGTTGGTGGGTGAGGAAGGGAGCATGTGACCTACCCCTATACCATGGCTGAACCCTGTGCTGGGGGCGGGGCTAGCTGCACTGATGTAGCTGCTGACTCCTGAGTCCTGATTGGCTGCAGCGTACAGGTCAGCCATTGGTCCAGGGCTGCTGGTGCCCAGGAAGCCAGCTGTGCGTGAAGGGGTGGAGCCTGAGAGCCAGGAGAGACAAGTCAGTCTTAAACACTGGAGGGTTTTCTCTCTCACACACACACACACACATAGAAACATGCACATGTCTAAAAATATTCCTTTATTTCTCCAACCAGGCCATCACGCACGCGCTCATTGTGAGTAAGGCGAGCATGCAAATTTGTAAACATGCACACACTCCTGCTGTTCACACTCTTTCGCAGACAAACAGGGACATACCTCTAACTACCGCGGCGGCTGCTGCAGCTGCTGCCATTGGTCCGTATGCAGTCAGGGGAATGGCTGAGGATTACACAACAAACAAAACTGTCACACAACACGTATGTCATGATCTACAGCTCAGTGTGGCTGAACAGAGAGCTGACCCAGAGATCTGACATGTCATTTAAATACCACTGGTGTAAGGTTTAATGATCCAACATCCTATAGCATCTGGCTTGATGCATTAAATAAGATACAAAATGATGGCTAAAATCAAAGAGGATGGCGTTTCCAAGTAAAAATGTAAGTACAGCTCAGAGCCACTAGATGTCAGTGTAAAGGCGCAGCTGCTTGTAGATCGGCTGCATGCACAACACATCCAAAGGCTAAAAGTATTTACCGGCAGAGTTAGGAGCAACCTAAAAGCTTTTAGCCCAATATATCATCATATCTTGTCACCTCTGTCAGAAGTAGTCTTCAAAGAAAAATGGAACTCGTTAGATCGTTTAGTGTACATCCATAAATCGCTCCATCAATTTCCTTAACTGCTTATCCAGTTGAAGGTTGATGGGAGGCTGTAGCCCACCCAAGATGAGTTTAGGCAAGACGCATGGTAGACCCGGGGTAGGTCACTGGTCAGTGGGTTCGAAAAGAGAGACAGACAATCACACACTTTTACATTCACACCTATGGCCAATCACAGATTAACCTAACATGCATGTCTTTGGACTGTGGGAGGAGACAGCATGCAAACTCCGCACAGAATCCAGCCGGCCAGGAGGTCTGAGCCAGAAACCTTCTTACTATAACAGTGCTAACCAATACCTGGGGGTTCATATTTTATGGTGCTTAAGGGAAAAAGACATTTTAAGGCGACCTCCACAGTAGCTTCGCAAAAACAACCGATATGTTCACAGAAACTACTTAAAGTTTGATTCTTGAAAAGTCTTACAAGGTCGTTTGCATTACCTTTGAACCCTATTTCTACCTGCTGCTGGATTGCCTCACGTGTACATAGGCGGACTATTTCTTAAATCAAAAATTAAATCTAAATCTGATTTTAAAAGTAAAAGTAAACAGGTTTGTTTTTTGGGTTATGCTGCTTTTGTTTTTGAAGAAGTATCCCAGTGATTCAGGGTTACTGCATTTAGTAAAGATGGTCTTCGTGGTTTAACTTGGGTTTCTGCTGCTAAAGAGCTTCGGGTTTTCTTTTTAGGTTCTCAGAGGGGTTGCGGCAACACTCACCTGCCAGCTCAGGAGGGTGGGATGATGTCAGGAGGGGGGTCCTCTCTAAATGGAATTCTAGAAACAGAGAAGATCCAGAGAGAGAAAAATGTCTTTGTAAATAGTCGCCATCCACCAGCCATACTACAAAGGCACACACGCACACAGAGACAATGTCAACACAGATGCACGAGCACAGAAAGTAAAAACAAAAGAGAACAAAACAAAAAAAGAAAACCTACTGTAAGGACAGGCAGGAAGGTGGGAGCAAAGGAAAAGGAGGGGCGATACGGCCAATTGAATGGGGCTTACATAAGCAGATCAAATAAACAAAGAAGAATATAAGAGGAAGAAGGTCTAATATCACAAATGAAAGGCAAAAAACATCAGTAACTAACATTCGAAACAGAAGACAGTGTTTCAGAAAGTGCAGAGGGTTTAAGTTACAGACAAGAGCACTTTAAAATCACACTTGCTGCAGCTGAAATGAAGGCGGCATGACACGCGAATCTGAGCGCGCACATGAACCTCTAGCCACGTGGCCGTTGCTGTTCATACATGTTTCGCCTCGCACTGTTAAAAACTGTCAGCATGCTGCAGCCTGTAGCCTTTACTCTGTCCCTGTCTGCAGGCCTAAAGAGAGTCAGTGAGCTGTGTGGCTTATGCAGACGTACCTGGGAACTGGTAGGTGTATCCGGGCGCGATACCAGAGTAACTGCGGCTGGTGTAGGTAGCAGTCTGAAAACCCGGGTAGCCTGTTGGAGAGAGAAAGAGAGAGAGGATTAATTGACTGTATAAAGGAGCATGATGGCAAACTCAGAAAATGAGTTTTAGGGGAGGCTGCTTGGTGTGTGAGCAGAAATCACGATGAGTACACACAGGCAGATCTAGCCATCTGATCTATCCAGGTTTATTTTTGGAACCACCTCAAGAGTGCAGTCATACATTCACCTGCTGCAGTGGCAGTTAGCTAAGCGATCTCCTATAAGCTAATTTCCTCTGCTCTTGTACAACAGAGTGCAGCTACGAAGGAGTTACAGTAAAGATGGCTATTATTAACTACTGAGTGATTTAAGGTCATTTATTTGATTTTGCTTTCCCTCATCCGGGGTTCATTTTAATCAACCTCGGAATATTTCGAAATTTAAGGCGACACTCCGGACACTTGGTGATCCAGGCATACACATTAGCTTAACGTCTGCGGGAAATGGGGTCATTAGAGATGAATTACACATGAGCCAGACCTAGTAGTATGAGTCACTGACATTTACAGGCCCTTACTGAGATTATGTATTACGATCTGAAATTTGCCAGTAGAGGGCATCAAACAACCACAAACTACAGCTGATGTAGCTCTCGGTTTTGATTTCTCAATGAGGATCTCTTCATACTGTATTTTTACTCCAGCGTGTGGAGCCCTTCAGTCCGTGACCTCTAAACATTCGATACATCACAGAGAATAACGTCATTGAAAGCAGGCGTTTAGCTTACGTAGCCTAAATATTTCTGAACGGAGGGTGCACCTACAATATGACATTTCTTAATTTTTAAAGCAGCTCCTTCAGTGTGAATGAGGAAACCTAAGAAATGCGTTCAAATTGCTGAGCTATTCCCAGCTAAATTAATGCACAGAAGACATTTTCAAGGCACTACTGAAATTTGAGTCAATATTGTGATTTGGTTCCTTTTCTGTTATTTCTGATCAGCAACACATACAGAAATATGTCTCGTTTCGGTGTTTTTCCACATTCTAGATGTCTGAGTTTATTCTACTGTTACTTTTTTTGAGTATTTTTAGAATAAGTACAATCTAAAACTAAGCTACACACACACACTTGCATAATCTGTTATTTCTGTCTTCGTAAAGAAAAATGGTGTCAGTCAGTGCTAGCACTTGATTAACAGTGATTTTTTCAGATACTGCATTTGCTGTTTGTTTAATACTTTACCTAACATGCCAATGCCCAGCATAAAAGCGTCCATCCCGTAGGGCATCACCCTGGAACGGCCTCTGGCTGAGCCTGTCGGCGTCATCACCTCCTTGGGCTGGGCTTTCTTGCACTCCACCTGAAGCAAAGAAAACAGGGAGTTAGTAAAAAAAAACTACTGAAATAAAGACACTCAACAGTTACGCCACATGATTCGGTCTGGCAGTTGGGACACTGGGAACAAATCCCTACACCACCGAGTAAACCACGCTCTAAATATTTTTTACAGCTCACGTCCGTACCATTTTGTTGTTGATCTCATGGAAGTGGATCTCACACACTTTCTCAACCACATCTTCATTCTCAAAGGTAACAAAACCAAAACCTGGAAAAGAGCGAGAGAAAAAAACTCTTAAAGAAACCCTTGTAACATTTGAGCAACATTTGAAAGCATGTTGAATTTTCCACCTTTACACGGGCTCTGGATATGAGTGGTTATAATGAGATGGAAGAACGAGCACAGTTATCAGAAAACATGTGATCACTTTAATGTCTCCCTTTTGTAACGTGCAACCCAAAGAGCTGAGGCCAACCTCACAGGTCTTGCTTGTCAATTAAGGTGTTAGCATCATGGAGGAGAGGGGGGATAGGGCGTGGCTAACTCCACCCTGCTCCTTTCTTTCTCCCCCCTTCCCCACTTGTCTTAACTTAGATCCTGACTTTGTATAAACAGAAGTAGGCGAGAGCGAGGAAAGACAACGTTAAGAAAAATTTGTTTGTTTGAATTTTTTTTTAGCTAGATCACCAGAGCTAATGACTCCATCGTGGTCCCACTTAAGCGTATCAACATAATGCGGGCGGGTGCACATTTGAGTATAACTCTGGGTACGCACCTCTATGTCTGTTGGTTGTTTTGTCAAACATGAGCATGGCATCATCGACCTGTGAGAACAAAGCACAGAATAGATGAGCTCGGACATCTTAACACGCGCGCGCGTGCACATCATTACACAGCATGGGGTGCCATTGTCCCTCTTTAGCATCGGAGTAAGAGGAGAAAACAGATGGAGAGGGTGGAGGGCAGAGACTTGGGCGGGGTGACAGGTGACAAAGGAGAGAAGAAAAAAAGAATGGAAGGGTGAGAGGGGAAGAGAGCGACGGGGAAAACAGGGGGAAAGAGGGCGCCGTGTAAAAAAATAAAATGAAATGCAATATATCAGCGGTAAAAAAGAGGCGCTGAATGTTTCCCATTCTTCGCTCTGCCTCCATCCTTCACCCAAGTTCTTACAAACTCTGTCCCGCTCTCGCCCTTCTTTTGCTTTCGTTTGTTCACCCTCGCTGTCTTTCTTTCCCTCTCTGCAAAGTTTACCATTCCCATGGAGACCATGCAAAGAATTTCAATTAGAAGAATTCACCCCCCCCCCCCCCCCCCCCCCCCCCCCCACAAGCACATAGACCCACTCCAGCTCATTTCAATGGCTGGAGAGAAAAGAAGAAGGGCTGATAAATAATGCTGTGATGAATAACAGCAATAAGAAGATTGAAAAAAGTTAAAAGTCTTGATGGCAGGTAGGAAGCCTGCCAGTGAGCATTCTGGATTATAGAGTAGAGAACGAAGTGAGCTGAGGTTTTTGTCAACACGCTCTCCTTTTATTCTACTTCTCCCTCCACTTTCCTTTTTGCACTCACTCCACTGCCCTATTCATATTCCACCTCCTCCCCCCCTTTTTTTTTATACCATTCCCTCCCTCCCTGCTTCGTCCTTCACTGGCAGGAAAGTTAGCAGCTTCTGACGGCATAAGGAGACGCACGGAGAAGCCAAGGCCTGGGATCAAGGTGGAAGTAAAAACTTTCACATTTTCAGTCTTTAGCAGCAAAACAACAGAGACACATGAGCGTGACTGCATGGACAGCTTCAACATTATATCATGATTATTTCAAGAAAACAACAATATATTTAAAAAGAAGACTGAACGTCGTATCGACGCTCGCAGCTTGCAGGCGGCAGCATTTGTAAGTGTAAGTAAATGAAGAGCATTTACCAACCTTCTTTTCCAATGAGCTGCTGTCACTAATGATACACTTCCTAATTACAAGTGTGAATCTATTGAAACAAGGTGCCAGCAGCAGCTGCAGGAGCGTTACAGTGCAATGGTAGTGAGTGACACAGCAGTATATACAGTGACACAGCAGAAATTCAAACGTGAGCACAAAACTAGCCCAGGTTGTGCTTTCCCTGGGACATTTAAGTAAAACTATAAAATAACTGCGTCGTGCTTTAGTTTAACAGTAACTACAGTAACTTAACCTTGCAACTTGTCAGCAGCCTGCACAGTATTGTCACACAATAAAGATGAAAGTGTTTTCTACCTGTTGTTTCTCAGGGTCGAGCTTTCTAATCAGCTGCTTAAAGCCCTGCTCTAACACCGTGTAACCGCATCAGTAATTTCCATCCGCCGTTCGCTCTTCCTGTCATATGGAGAGTGCTCTAGCATGCTCGGTTGAGTCATTTGTTTACTGTTGGGTCCCACATCACGGGCTGCTAGTATCTCCTGCTTCATAGCCTGCTTTGTACTCAAGGGTGTGTTTTTGCCATGTTTGTTATTTCCACCTTTAGTGGGTCAAATTTTCTCACATTTTTTCAAAGTACCGTGCTTTGCTTGGAGGGTGCTGCAGCAGCTGCTTTTCTAGCTACCGCTCTTGCTGTCAGACATGCCTGGGCCTGTCTCCTTGCTGCTTGCACTGGGGACAATATGGCGTTGCTGTAGCATGTATGATATCGCGATATGATGTTTTTATATCAGTAAAAATAACCATATTATCGGGACGATGATATAATATGCCAAAGCCCTACCACATGGCTATTTTCATTAGGCAGCGCGTGCTGAAACCCAAACCAGTGTAACCTGAGTGCCTGAGGCCTCTGGGTAGGCAGGTCATTTGATTTCTAAAACGTATCTCAGATGAAAAACACACATGCACGCCTTCTCGTCTGATTGAGATCAAGCCTGTGCAAGTGTTTGCACCAACGAAAGTGAAAAATGATATATGCAAAGAGGATCAAGGTTGCGTCCACAGCCCTCCTCACTCTCATCCTTGTTAACATATAGCATGGGACACACACACGCAAACACACACAGAGCTCCCCCCTGTGCTCGTCTTGCTGTCCTTCATTCAGTTTTTATCCTGCAACCCCCTCCTCCTCCTCCCTTCCCCTCTCCTTTCCTCTCCCCCTCATGTCTTCCAGCCTTCCAGTCATCCAGACTCAATGACACAGCAGAGAGCCAGGGAAGAGGACAGCAAGTAGACAGCTGCAGGCCAACATGTTATCATAAGAGTAGAGTTACACTCACAGCTAGTCCTCCTGTTAGCATTAGCAACATCTATTCTGGAAGAGATTAGCAAACCCTGCCAGCCAGAGGAGATTTTAAGTATTGGAAACAGAAAAAAAATTACAGATAATAAGCAGTATAGTAGTGCAAACATGGTTCTGCTAATTGTCCTCCATGAGAACAGAAAGATCTGCAGACTGTGGCCACACACCAGCCCCCCTCGCCTTTGCCAAAACCAATAAGGAGAAGATCTCACGATGTCCACTGCCCAGGGTGCTGTAAGACAATCTGATTGGATAGCTGTGAGTTCTGAGATTGACTTAGCAGCAGCTCTATCGCTAACTACTCAGCATGCATGCAGAGCCGAAGTAAACTTAAGGTCATATTCTCATAGTTCTGACATTCTCAGATGTACAGAGAACGAGGGTCAGCCGAGATCTCGAGCTGCTTCCCGAGAGCGGCATTAAAAATAACCGCTTTTTAGTGAAGCGTACCGCTATTGTACTGAAGAACAAGTGTTTGCTGACAAGTCCATTACACTTTTCTGCCAGATTATGAAAGGTGGCATTCACATTTTTTTCCCCGCCGTCTCCTCACATCTCCCTCCCTCGTTTCATTCTCGCTCGCTCTCTCCGGCCATCTCTCTCTAAACAGGCCAGCAGACAAAGTGTTCAGTCAAGCCTTCTAATCGCCAGCTCACATGGGTGAGTGGAGTCCCAACTTTTCCCGTCTGCCCTGTCCATGCTGCTTTTTTCATCCTATCCGCTCCTTCGTTTGCTTGCTAACCTACTCTCTGGGTTTACTCAAAAATGAAGATTTGAAATCATCGGGCTTTTCGTGTAGGATACAGAGAGGCAGGGTAAACAGGCATGAAAACAGAGATTTCCTTTGGATTAAACCTAATTGATTGTACGCCCAAAATGCCTGAAATGCTAATGCCTGAAATGTTAAACACACTTCTGTGTGTGGACAGATCTTATATTCAGCTTTGGCCAAAAAAAAAAAAAAAAAAAGAGCCACATGAGCTTGAGGGAAATTACAAGACCCTCATTTCCGACTTCTAATCGAAACATGGCTGCTGCAGTCTCATTGGCCTGGGAACATTTAGCAAGAGGCCCTCAGATTTTTTCAACTAGGAAATCACATGTAAACAAAAGCCTCTGACTCCTCAGGTTGGCCCAGAACACCTGACGCGTCAACAACCGAGCAGCCACCCTAGTCCAAGTAGTGAAGTTTATCTAGGTGTTCTTAGAGGCTTGCTAAAAAACAACAACAACTTCGGCACATATCAAAGACTTGCATAAGATGCAGAGTGCATTCTGTGTTTTCCTTGCAAGGCGGTACCACAGTATGAAAATAAACAGGACACTGAGTCCTGCTCCAACCAAACCTGCACCTTGTAACCAGGCTCAGATAATAAACAAGAAATACCTCCCGCTCAGCAGGAATGCACTGTGGGATCGCCGCTATCCACGATACAGCTTTGGTCTCACGTGTCCAAACAGTCCAAATATTCCCTCATCCTGCGGAGGGAGTGTTGTCTTAGATATGAGTGTCTGTAATCACCGGGGAGAAATGATTCGGCACACAGACTGCAAACAGCCATTTTAAGCGAGTGCACCGAGGAGAAACGTGTCACATGTCACAACAGCCACCTGAATCTGTGCCACGGGTCACACGCTCGCAAATCCAGGTCTTCCGTGAGCACGCGGGCCGGAATTAAACGGCGTTCTTTAAATTTGAACCAGTACCTGAAATACAGTAATACCTCAAGCATGAGTCAGAGGCCAACTGAGAGAAAACACAGGCAGACACGAGGCAGAAGGAGCTTCGTGCTGTTAATTTCTTCCAACCCATTAGGCCCACATCCTGAAGCAATGCTCATTTTCAAACTGTCCTGCTCACCAACGGCGGCAGAGGCGCACACTTAATGTTTGTGACAACTGGATCGCCGGCTGTGAGCCTCGCTCTCCGTCTGCATGGGCACAAATGCATGCAAGCTCGCATCCACGACGATGCCACTGTCACACTTTCACGAGCACGCCCGTCTTTCCATTCATGCAAATACACACTTCTCGCACATTTTTTTTAAAGGAAACGCACAAAAAAAGCACTGGATTATAGCGGGACAATGGGCGAAGGCAGGTCACCACGGCAACAAGCTGAGAGCGACTAGAGCAGGGTGTGTGTTTGTGTGTGTGAGATGGGAGGGTGTCTGAAGTACTGATTTTGGGTAAGGTGGGGGGGCTGTTACAGGAGCAGCTGTTGCATTTGATTAGTTAATACTGAAAAGGCTGATCTCCATTCGCGCACACAGTAGTTTGCTAAAAACTAACCCAACATGCCACGCTTTATGGATAATTTAACACACTTATTTCTCATCAGATTGGTCCTTTTTCCCCCCCTTTAATAATCACTTTTGCCCCTCACTACTATCTCAGCATTCCTCCTTCCCTCTGCCCTTCAACCTTTTTCTGAGTTCCCCTCCCACTCTCTCTCCACGGGGGGTTTCTTCTTCCCTTTCAGTCCCCTGCCATCTCCCTCTCCCTCTTCCCCTCCTGCTTTTTTTTTTTTAACCTCCCTCTACCCCCGGCCACTCATCTGTCTCCACAGCATGTGTTTGCCTTTCACCAAATTTCTTTCAAAAGAGCTAAGCAGGCCAAATGCAGAAGCCAGAAATGCTAATATGTGATCAGAAAAGAGCAAAAACAGCCAACAACAGAGATAAACTAACAAACTAAGTCATGCTAAAGCTGACGGAGCAGAACCACCGATGACCACACAGCATTTTCTTTGTTTCCCCTCTTTGATATTTGCACTCTTTAGAGAAACCCACTCTGAGGACTTCTGAAGAAGCTAGCTAAGGTTAAAAGGATGTATAACAGCGCAGCATTTGTTTCTTTCACTTTCACTGCGTGCCTTCGTTTCACTTTTTCTCCTAAAATAGGTCTGCTTTCTCTTTTTAAGGTGTCTCGACTTGAACCGAAAAACGGACATGCTTAAAACAAAAGCCATAAAAGTTTTTTTTTTCTCTGTGGAAAAAAAACGTTTAAAAGGAAAGTTAAAAAAAACTTTTAGCTGGACAGAGTCAGTAGATGAATATAATCTATCAAAGGCATGCAGTCCATTAGAGCAGCCAAGCCCAACCAGAGGTACCCCAGGGTGTGCTTATGCAGCTACCAGAAGGTACACGGACAGATTGCGGGCAAGCTGAAGTAATTTGATACAATTTTTATCAAGTAATTTGATCAAAGTACTGTAACACCTGAACACAACAATTCCCCACTTATAGTGTGAAAACTTGTTAGAAGCCAACAGTAAGCTTGAAAACCACTGAAAAATGATTCACTTCAAAAATAACTGATTGAAATGTTTCTGTACTTTATTAAATTGTGAACTAAAAGTAGATGAAACACCTTAACGCTCATAAATTGTAAAAAGTTTAAAGTGTTGGCTAATGGAATGGAATTGTTAGGCTAATCGAAAAGCTAATTCTTCCTTAAAACTAAGAGAGGAGCTGCAAGCAGCCAAATGCTGACAAAATATTAGCATCCACCTTAAGAAATCTGGGTTAAAAGTAGAAGATGTAAACACCACACACCCACACGATACAATACTATCACAATATCTCACTCATGATAAGATATTAAGCTTTTGTAGTAACATATATTGTGATTTATCACCCTTTTTTCAACTACAAATTATGTCCTCAAGATAGCCAATATCTGTTTTATCCAATAAGATAAAGTTATCTCACTTCAGTTATTAATGTCAAGCACACCAACACCGTCACTTAAACCTGCCACAAATGTTGCCATAAGTCATAATGTTGCAGTTATATACAATCTGTTTCTGATAAAACAGCAATAAACTGTGATAAATTTTTTAAAAAAATCACATATCGTCTGCTGCCTGCACACACTTAACCATTACATTTGTGCTCAGCAGCCATCCTGTTCTGCAGAATACAAACAGCTGGCAGCCAGTTGAGTCGACGCAATCTGTCTGTATTTATAAATTAAATAGCAATTATCTGCAAATGTCTAAAAACCTCTCTGAGAGTGATTCCAGTCAGTCCCAGTCAGAGTGCAACTGCTTGCAAAAAGGTCGCCCCCTATTATCAGGTGAGATGATAATGATTTATTAAAAAATTGATATTTGTTGTCCCTTTATTGATACAATATAGCTTTGCAACATATCTATCTATCAACTGCCACTTAAAAACCACTAAAATGCTCATATATCTAATATGATGGGTATTATCTGTGAAGGGTAAGTCAAGGTCAGACCAAGGTTGAGCAGCAGCAGTCCAGCTGAAAGACAGCTTTTCAGAGTGAAGGCTTAAGCATGATGGTTGCAAGTATTTAGTAGGTTTGTGCATTTTTTTTACCTTTCCAAACTGGTCAAAATATTGCTTCACATCTTCGATGGTGGTATTGACTGACAGTCCTCCGACAAAGATCTTCTTTGTCCTGGTCACCAGCTAACAGCGCAGAAGGAAAAGAAGAAGAAGGTATCTTTTATCACTAATAACATTAGGTCTGTGCTAGCTGCCTGCGATAAAGACACTTTGTGTTGGTTGGCGTTTGTCTAATCTCAAAGGTTGCTTAAAGCTCTTCTTGGAATTCAGACTAATTGATGTCAATTTAAGGCCTCTGAGGCGTGTGCATGCGAGCAGCATGTGTGCAGGTGAATAATCGGCGCAAGCATCCATTTAGGTGTGAGCCAGAAAATGCATGTGTGTGCGTGTGTGCACGTATACAGGCGGCAGTGCAGGAGCCTGTGTACACAGGGTCATGGTGTCAGGCTGGACAAGTGGATTGTAGCTCCAATTAGATCATGTGCCTGAGTCTAATCCCAGCCAACCAGGGCTCCCTTATTAGGGGTGACACATGACATCATCTCCACTCCTCCTTGCTGTTAACTCCTTCAGGGTGCACTCACCTTGGGCTGAGCCCGGCGGGGAAACGCCACCTTTGGGTCGATCTGTAGGGAAAAGATGAGTCATGATGAGTTTTTGTTGTCGTTTTTTAAGTGATAAATCAATACATTTGATTTGTTTATAAAAAATATATATATAGATATCAATGCTGTACTCTTTCTGTTGTAACAGAAACAGGCAGCAAATGCATAAATAATCTACGACTGGTCATCAGGAAACATATAATCAACTACATTTGCCAAAAAGACATTTACAAGCTGCACACCTTCTACACGTTACTACATGTTCTGCTCCGTACTATTATGTTTGGGGTCAATTAGACCACAGAGATGTCTAATTCACACTCTGTTCCAATAACAGACTTATTAAGGATTTGGGAGCAGTAAGGCTACAAAGGAAGTACCATCATACTAATAACAGACACGGCATAAGCAAGTTTGGATCGCTGGCAACCATAAACACAAGTTATCCAGCCTCAAACGTGTCATTGAATGGTTGGGGGACTGGAAATGCACATAATATATATATAGGAAAGCGATATTAAAATATATCTGACATTTGATTTTTTTTTTTCCCAGCAATGATACCGAATCTCTACCTGCTCTGGTTTTGTTGCTCAAAAGTTCCTGTTCAAAAAACCGCTGCGCACGTCAATGAATTATCACCCTGTTAACTAACTAGAATTTGTTACAACACAGAGCCTCTAAGTCTGGACTACAGGTCCAGAAATAGATCGTATGCTAATCCGCGAATATGTATAGTAGACCCTTGTTTATGCAAGCCCCCGAAAATCCAAACACGGCAGCTAAACAAACACGCATAGTTAACAAAATACACAGTGAGACAGGAATATGTACTTTCTCTGAATTGTGTGTTGAGACACAACTAAATGCATCTTCGCCACAAACTACACAGAGCGGGGCAGTCTTGAATCCAAAATGAGCATCTAAGATTCTGAATATATCACACATAGATTTTTTTTTTTCTAAATCTCACAAATCCTGACAAGCTCCATTTTGGATTAGCTCGATTTGACTGTATCCATATTCCTCCCCACTGGAATGTCTCAGCATTGGTCAAGGTTACAGATAAAATTAGAAGTAAATGAGCTTTGAATGAGCTGGCCTTTAATAATGCTAAATATGCAAAGCTCGGCCTGGCATTTTAAATTTGTGCGGAATCTCGTGTTATTCTCACTCAAACCGACGAGTGAGATGATTTTTAGGTCACAGGACCTTGTAGTGTATTATGGTCTTAGAGTTTCATCTTTGTTCTAATAATTGGATGTGTGAAGCGAAACCCCTCGTGTCTCCCACAGCCGCTATCAGAGGTATTGAATTGATATTGGCAGTAAAAAGTGCCCTGTGAAATAGCTTAAAATAATTAGTTCTAATGTGAACAATACGCACGACACAAAGGAGGGTTCGTTCAATATTCAAACAATCCTTTCATCTCGCCCCTGTGATAATTCCCTGCTTCTGATGACAAATCTACTGACACATATATCCTTCGAGGACCTTTAAGTGCTTCACATTTGCCGCCGCTTCGAGAGCACAGCGCTGTGTAACTAAGATGCAGCTGCAGCGTCCTTGGAAGGGATTGCAGAGGGACTTTACACCTTAAAGTGGGACACAAAGATGAGAAGAGCCATGTCACCTCCAGCTGGTCAGCGCACAAAGACTAAGGTGACAAGGACGCACGAAGCCACCAGCGACTATCCGCTACAACCGAGCGCGCTCACAAACAGTGACAACACAGCATTTCTGTGTCAGTGTGGACCAAATGTGACATTACAGTGTTACAGATGTGTGCGTTTGCCCGCTACATGATTCAGCTTTTTTAGCCATTTTTATTTAAATGTGTCACAAATAATACTGACTTATAAACTGAACATCGGGTCACTGCCATGATCAAGCACGATGAACATGAGTAAGAGAATTCATTTTACTCACACCGCGCATTCACACCCAGCATGGCAGCATTTGACCTTGTTCAATAAAAATGTTTTTAAAATAATTAAACATCTTTTTTGTGGAGTCTATGTTTGAAATGTATTTAATGAGAGAAGATATGTATAAACTTAGAGTTAATATCAAAGCTTTTCTTCACATCATTCCAGCCCAAATACTGCAAACTCAGATGCATCAATTTCTACACACTAGTTTCACTGTTTACTAAAAACAATAGAGTTATAGTACAACTGTACTACTGGAAAGAAACTCATTTATATTACAGCGCAATATAATTATCACAATTAAACAACTCCAAGCGTCTGTAACATCCTAATGACATCACCGGTTGGCGTACGTGGGCAAAATGTCCGTTGTTCCTCTTGGCACTGAAGTGCTGAGAGGTCACTGCCTTGGGCTTTCTGTTCAGCCCACCTGCCTTGTACTGTTTTAACACGACAAGAGGGCAGGAGCTGCCTTGAGGCGATCATGTGGCAGAGCATGAGCTGAGAATGACAGCGGTCAGACATCTAACACGAGCCACATTGTCCATTGTTATCACCATTGTAAACACACGAAGAAAAAAAACATCAGTTTCTATAAGCTAGTTGTAAACAAGCACTAATGTCCAAGTCTTTTTTTTTATTCATCCAGCAGCATGTTGATTAGTTAAGTTTTCTCGGAAACCGCCTTTCTTTTAAGAAGTGTGAAATCAGTATGTTTGCATGACTCAATTCAATTCAACTGTATTTACATAGCACCAAATCACCATTACAGTCATCTCAAATTACTTTATGATGTAAAATAATAGAGAGAAATCGCCAAGAGGACCCTCGCACCTATGAGCAAGCACTTGTTGACAGTGGGAAGGAAAAACTCCCCTTTAACAGGAAGAAGCCTCCAGCAGAACCAGGCTCTAGAAGGGGCAATTATCTGACGCGACCAATTGGGGGTGAGGGGTTGAAGACGGGACACAAATTATGATTTTTTATGGGCTAATTAAATACCTAAGAAATCAAGATATGTGATCACACTGATGTAGCAGTCTTGCTAATAAATTTTAGGATCAGATTACCCATCATACTTCACATTTTTACAAATTAACAATATTGTTACAGCTAGTAAATTATCAGAAGCTCTTCAAAATACTGAAGGTTACCAGCTAGGCTACGTTAGGCCTAATGTAATATCTGTAGCAGTGCTACTACAGCTACTGTCATGCCATGCTGTTAAAAAAAATCGTTCCACTTCAGTGAAGTAACAGAATATATCTAACATGTAATTTCTACATCTGGCAGTACTCAGAGGGAGGCAATAATAAAAATGAAAACTAAAGCATCTATCAGAGTGGCGGATTAGCCTCAAGGAAGACAGATAGGCCACAAAGCAAAAAGTGAAATGACTTAGCCAGGTCACTGTTTGCAACACTCAGAAATAGCTCATCGGTGGCTTGACATTTGAAAAGAAGCTCGGCCACGTAGCGTTCCCAATCATACTGGTGAAAGCGTAACTACTCAAGAAAAATGTGAAAACCTTTCTAGAAAGAAAAAAAAAGGTGCTTTTCCCAGACTTGACAGACAAGAGTTATAACTGAGTGTTCATGAACTGGTCTAACATCCTGCTTCATGACATCCAACCTCCGCTCATTCTAAGCAGCATAGTGACAGCAGAGCCTGCAGTATGATTTTAGTGGTTTTAGCTTTTAAGACTACTCTAATCTACGACCAATAGTCACCTCGCAGGGCGCGGCGTGTCCACCAGTGTTACAAACTGGAAAACAAAAATCAAAGCATAAATAAATTTTGAAAAAAAATTTTTAAAAAATGCCAAACCAGTAGATGCGTACGTGTAAAGGTGAGAGAGCACAGAGAGAAAGAGAAGGCATTCATTTGGAAAACAGAGTCAGCCCATGAGAAAGCGGGCCTGTCCAGTGTGGTGGTGCAGTGGGGCAGTCCCAGCAGGCAGCCCCTCTGATTTCATTAATTAACAGGACAAAGAGTACAAAACAGATGGGCCCGTAGAGGAACTGGGGCTCCCGTGCTACCCCCACAGGCACACATACATATACACTTACACACACACATTCACAAGCACCCAAACAATGCAGCGAGAGTGGAAACGCTAACACGAGGATACAAAGTGACATACGTGCAAAGTTCATAGGTGAAAACACAAGCATATACACACAGACATTCAAGCTCTGATGCACTGGCCGAGTTTCCAAGACATTCTCGCAAGAAAAGGGCAACCACGTTGATAAAAAGACACCACGGGCTACCGTCATTATGACAAAATAATCAATATGAGCTTAACAAAAGCTATAAACACCCAAGGACACGAAAGGGGCTGACATGTCAATACATGCACACAGTGTAAGAGGGAGACTTGGTTTGGGCTCAGGCCAGCCGGGTCAATCTGCACAGCTGAAGAATGGCACAGTAATTAGTTAACGAAGCTCACTAATGAGGTCCTCCAACCTAACCCCGTCCCTACCGCTTGTAACCCTCTATGTGAGCGCCTAACCCGTGTGGCTGCTGTGCTCGGTTGTGTTTACTGTTGGGGTGGGGGTTTGTGTACATTTAACATGACAAGAGAGCTCTCTCGCTCCACCTTCAGAGCTGCTCCAAGCTTTATCCCGGATCTGATGTCGTGCACGGACCTCAGGAGCCCAATCCAGTTTGTTTCATTCAATCCGATTAGTTGCTTTACAGATCCATACTAATTACAGCACAGTGCCTTCCCTTCTCTCCTATTCTTCACCTTCTCCATCCCCCTTCTCCTTGTTTCGTGCACGTCAGCATTAACAGCTAATCTTCCAATCAGGAGCGAGCAGCCCATCCTGGCATTTAAACTCTCCACTAACCAGGTGTTAGACCACTAGCAACTGCAGACTATGGGGCCTGTGGCCCACAGTGGCTGCTGCTAACATATGTCATGGGCTACAGATGAAAGCGGCTATATTAGCACAATGCTGACGACTTCTTTAGCCTCGCAGACAAGTCGCGCTAAAAGCAGCAATTTCCACCTACTATATAAAACACCTTGAAAAGGACATTCCAGCTTACTTGCGCTAAAAACAAATCACATAAAATAAAAATAATCAGTGTGTTTCTTATCTGTCTGTGCCTTCTATTAAAAATGTTTTCAGTAACCTGTATTCAGCACTACACTGGCCTTTTTAGGGGGTCGTTTTGAGAGACAGAGTTCCCTGTGAAGAAATAGCAAATGCCAAATAATCACACTAATCACCAAAAACCATAATTCACCACAATTTTTTAAAAATCTGAAATCACCGCACAGAGGGAGCGAGAAGTGGTCTCTTTTCAGAGAATATCTGGCCTCGTCTTTTACTTCTTCCCGTAACCGGTTCCAGTGAAGCATTTTCTCCAAGAAAACAAATACCAGTTGTGCCCTTCTTCTCCGGCCAGGGAAATACAGCAGCACACCAATGCCCCGAGGCCACACTCTGCCCCCGACAGGAAATCTAACCTCGAACCAAAACAACAACCTCGACAGACCCTCTCACTGAACACAACAGACAGCCTTATTGCATTATAACTGAACAATTACAACAGTTCACTTCATATTTTAACCTGTGACTTTCATTTTCCGAGGGCAGCTAGCACGATGTAACAGGACTGTAAATGTTTAATACCGCTTCTAACCAAGCAGCGTGGACCTTGCACCGGTTAGTTTGCACCTGACTTCTCACCCTGTGCATTTTCTCCTTTTCACATCGCCCGTCCCCGCTTCATGCCTTTCACATATTTTCTCGCAAACCAAAGCTCAGCATAACAAGGCATACACATCACAGCATCAAATATTCTTCCTCGTGCCTGTGAGGAATGCCTCTTTCACGTCTCAGGCTGATCAAACAATACTGTGGAGAGGGAGACTCCAGGTGTGATGCAAAAACGTTCTCTCAAATATGTTTTGTGTAGCGTTTCGAGAATTAAGCTACAAGCAAGGCAAGAAAAAAGAAAATACATCCCAATTTGGCAAATATGAGATTTGCAACAAATAAATTCTGGGCTCAAATTTCCAAAAATGGAACAACAAAATGGCAACCATACCCCCCATTTAAAACGCCTTGTTGGATAAATGGTACCATGGCACGCTTCCCCCCGCAGACTGCTGCCACAACAACCTGAGCAACCCAGCCTTGCATTTGAGTCATTAACATTATTATTGTTTAGCCTTATGCCGTATTTTGGTTTATAATAGGGCAACGCCTAACCCCACCAGTGGCCTGCCAAGCTGAGCTACCAGAGGCGTCCAAAACCAGCGTTCACATCCCACACACACACAAATACAGAGGGTCTGGCTCTCAAAGGCTCTGGCAGCACCTAGTTTTAAGAGGTAACATGACTCACTGAGTAATATTTTGCAGCTTCTTAGAACCTACTTCCAAGCAAGGTGAAAAAGGAATAATAAAAAAATATATATGGAGAGATTACCAGCAGCAGCGCTCATTTTGTAATAAATATCAGGACCTCCAGCGGTGGTGCTTGAAGGTCTGATTATTTCACCAAACTGCATCTTTAAACTTTCTAAATTATGAAGAGTCTCACTTAAAAAAACAAACATGATATCATAATCTTGCGTACTTATAAATGCCCGACAAAACTTGACACCATCTTTGTGCCACCCAATCAACCAAACCTTAAGTCAATGCAAAATAGCTGAGAAGTTGTTATGGAGACATAAATCCCACTGGGCTGTGCAGTTACAGCACCGTCTCCTGAGGCTGGCGTCACCCCCAGCAACAGGCCTGCTCCAACAAACTAACCAACTCTACCTTTCCTCTGCCCCTGGGCCCTGCTGACTTTCTGTGCCACCGATTTTCACTCTCAAATGATCCTATTGTGTGTGTGGTTAGGAAAGACAACAAGCTGACAAAGACACACCCAGTCCCCAATCCTACAACCAATCTGCATTACCAAGACAGAGGCATTCACACTTTAATAGATATTCAAATGTGGGCCTCGGATTCTCACCAAAACAAACCAAAGAGATTCGCACTCGTGCCCAAGTCACTGTCTCTCGCAAAAATATGGATTACCTGAACACAAGGGTGCTGCCTGTCCTCTGGTTTGGTGAGTGGTTTGTGAAATTTGCCCACATTTGTTTTTTCATGTTTAAGCAGTGTAGGAGGGGGAAATCACAGAGACACACACTCACAAATCTCGGAGTTACATCACTATTTAAATTCAGCTGCTCTGACCCCACAGTCTTCCTTCTCCCTGCCATCAGTTTTGGAATCCACTCCCACAATTCTTGCCACCCCCCAAAAACTCTGAGAGCTGCCACTAAAAAAAACTTATCACTTGCTATTTCCTATGAAAAAAAGAAGAAGGGGAAAAACTTGTGAACTCTCTACTGTGCATAAAAACCTGTGAGGGTTTTTGCAAAGGGGCTCCCACCCCATTCAGGTCCCCAGGTAACCATGGCAATGAAGACCAAGAAAGAACGCTTTCATGTTGGCGCCCTGAACCAGGATTTGGAGGGGGAAATGAGCAAAAGAGGAGAGGAGGAGGAGGGGTGTGGGCTCCAAAATGCACTCCTCAACTTTACAAGCCATAGGGTTGGAGGTAAAATGCACCGAGAGAGAGAAGGGGTGGGGGGTGGGGGGGAAGAAACAGGCTACACACTCCCAGAGTAAGAAAAGTTGCCCAAGTTGTACCATCCACTTCAAAAGTTTAAGAACTCACCGTTTTAGAATCCAGCTCGTGTCTGTTTTGTGCCAAAACCTTTTCCACACCGGCTTGTTCTGTGTATGTTACAAAGCCGAACCCTCTGTAAAACGCGGGGGGGAGAAAGCACACGCAAGTGACAAAATCAGAATGCAAACTCACGACAGCTCTCATGGAAAAGCATGGAAGAGCATGAGGCATCCGGTGATAGGACGGCGGAGCGCACACGCCTCCTTCTTACCTCGACCGCTTGGTAACGGGATCCCGCATCACCATGCACTCCTTCACCTCGCCGAATTTGCAGAAGTACTCCTTCAAGCCCTCTGCAAAGACACCGGGGAGACACTGTTAAAGGGGAAGGGAATGAGAGAAGGACTTCTCTCTAAACAGGGCCCTGGTGTGCTGTGCAGTGGCTGAAGCGAGACAATGGGGGTCGGGCGGACCACGTTGTGTTTGTGTGCGTGTGTCCTGCCGAGGTTTATACACCGGGCTCTCTTTGGCCATTCAGCACAACCAGCCCCATTAGGCCCTGCGGACCACAAACAAAGCTACACACTTGGTGACGCTCGCTGTTTTGACACAGCAGCAGCAGAAGCAGCAGCAGTGGAGATAATAACACGGGCCGTCGCAACAAGACTAAACTGTGCCCGTGCGTCAGCCTGCGCTCACGGCTCTTCGAATAAATGAATGAATTGAGCGGAGTGCTACCAATAAGGAAAACAACAACACTAGCGTGGCCCATGATGACGAGCCCAACTTCCAGCTTTAACGCTGATTAATCGATCACTTTAGTGTTTTTTTCCTTTTTTTCTACTCTGAATGCCCTCCTCGGGTTATTAAGAGTGTAACGAGTGCACAGGAAAGGAAGGCAGACAAGTCGTCGTGTGCGCACGATTAATCTCCTGCGTCTCCCGACTCTAAACCTAGAGCTTGATCCTTAATGAATAGGAGGCTTTGATTTGAACTGTTCACCGCGTTTCTCCTTAAAACTTCAAGAAGCCTCGCAGGTTATCGCCACAGCTATTATTAGAGCAAACGTTATATTTAAAAAGGAGTAAACAGGAGGCTTTCATCCAGACTTATTAAAGTAGCGTGCGGGACAGCTCACCTTGTGTTGTCTGCCAACTCAGACCCCCGATGAACATTTTGCTGAATGAGAGAAACAGAAGCTGTAAGTCACAGATTTTTTTCTCAAAGCGTCTTTTAAGCACAACACATGCACATTCGTGGAGTGAAGGGGGGGATCTGGAGGATCTGTGCGTAATATAGCATCAATAAAGTAAGAAGAAAGCATCGGCCATGTTGCGAAGTCACCAATCGGCCAGTCGGGCCGTTATAATCCCCTAGAGGAGGAGGAGGAGGAAAAAAAGGAGAGGATTTTCCAGATGATGGAAGAGAAGTTACAATGTGGCCTTCTGGTGGAAAAGCGAGAAAAATAAACAAACAAGAGGAGGGGAGGGAGAGAGAAATAACAGGCGGAAAGCAAGCGGTGCGTCTGCGTCTCCTCCGCTGAGTCTATCCATCCCACACATAGAGAGAGAGACACACACACATAACACACACAGCGTGCTTGTCTTTTGTCTCGGCGCGGCTTCGCTCCCCGCACTGAACTCAACTTAAGTCCAAGGTGAACTCAAACCGGGCCGAGAGGCGAGCGAAACACGGGCGCACGGACTCGGGCTGTTACCAGGGGTCGTGGGGGGAGTTGTCCGTGCCGGAGGACAGGCTGCTCTGGCTCCCTTCCGTATCCATTCTGCTCTCCGCTGGTATATTCCCGCACTGTGAGGCGAGGAGAGGCAGTGAAGCTCCACTGCTGCTGCTGCTGCTGCTGCTCCAGACTCAGGGGCGGGCAAGCACGATGGGAGGAGGGGAGGAGGAGGAGGGGTCGGGGAGAGGGGAAGGGGGAGGGGGCAGCAGAGGTGGGGGTGGGGTGGTTTAAAAAAGAAAAAAAGAGGAGGGGTGAGCGAGGAAGCGCACAGATGCATATACGCTCACAGACAGACTCCGCCTCTACCTCCTTTTCCCGTAGCCTACCCGGGGCCTCGGACCTCCCCTCCTGCGCGCATTGCCTGCCTTTTATTCATGCTGCCAGTGGCGCTCTCTGTGTAGTGTTTCCCCGCCGTTCTCGTCATTGGTTGAATCACAACAGCGTGGCCCATTAATACCCTCCTGGATGTCTTGAAATGTTCGGACGAGAGAACGATTCAATAAATAAACATTTCAAAGACAAGGATCTGATTTAGGACGCACAGAATTCATCACAGGTTTTGTGTGCTAAAACTGTTTTTTTATTGTTGTTGTTTTTTTTTAATTTGCTTGTTAGGTCTCTGTCACTCATTAGTAATCTCTTCATATCAGCTTAATATATGAGCAAGGTTTGGGCTGCTCTACAGGAAGACATAATGGAAAAAAAATGGCTTCCTGTGGTGCCAGGTTAGGCCTCAGGTGACATGAAGCATCCGTAACCAGGATACAGTTTGTGAAACAGCCATCGCTGACTGGAAGCTGCTCTTTTATTTTCATATTGCATATGTCAGCGAGGTCCTGCTTTCTATCTGTGTTATATATTGGTTCTCACACGTGATCTCACTGAGTCATAATTAAATGTGATCATATATGATCTGATTTAAACTTGGGCCTACGATGTCAGGATGTTATTTGATCTTATATATAATGTAATCAGTGCCATAGTGATGTATCATGTGATATTATACAATGTAATGCAATTTTATTAATGTGATGTAATGTATACTGATTGATAGGTGAAGTGGATAACCTTCATCATGTCATTTCAGGCTGCTGAACCAACAGCACACTCCAACCATACTAATTGGACAGGAATGGCTCAGGGAACACTTAAGGCAGAGGTGTCAAAAATAAGGCCTGGGGACCAGAATCAGCCCGACAAAGAGTCCAGTCTGGTCCACTGGATGACTTTACAAATTGTGAAGGAGGGCTTAAATTTTGGGGTTTTTAAATGTATTTTTAATAAGTTTTCCAGATTTTTCTGATGAAGTCCTCCCATTCATATCACACCTTATCATATCACTTCCTTATTTTTCAATTGGATAAAACAATCCTTTGAAGCGGAAGCCAGAAGTGCCGTTATAAAACTACAGAAATTTCTATATTTTTTTTACAATATGTCCAAAATAAAATGATATTGTCTGTTTCAGTTTTATAATTACAGGGCAGTTTGGTCAACGAGCTAACAACATTTATTTTTCTGGAATTTTACACATTTATTTCTTACAGTTTAAGCCCAAACAGTGACACATTTCTTTCATTGACTAGAGCAGCATTTCTAGTCTGGAATCCCTGACTTAAGGTATGAACTGACCCGACTCCTGAAACCTCTGAATTCAATCCCAAAATGCCACCACAGCAAACAAGGATGCCCTCCAAACATCCCAGCTCCAGACACCAGGGGATATTCCTCAGATCGATGACCGAACACTGCTTTTTTTATCAGCACGAGAAAAAATGAGACAATATTGGGCGAGTGGTTTTAATGTTGTGCGTCATCCGTGTGTGCATCTCTTTTATGCAATGTAATGTTGAATGTCTTGTCCTAGTTCATTTGTATTGTTGTCATTAACCTTGTCCTCACAATCATTAGTCTTTTAAACCATCATGAAGTCCCTCTTTTCGAATTACCCTCCATCCTCATTCACCCTTAGTCCACTTGTTCCCTTCAACCTAGCACCCACAGCCATCCCTCCCATCAAATCAAGCATTGCCTGTTTGCATTCTTCACCCTTCATCAATTCTTCATCCAGTTACCCAATCACAGTACTACCCTCATCTAAAGTTAACCCTACCTAACCACCTTCTCTCTGTCTTACTACATGACAGGCCACCCTAACCAGCTAAGTGGAAGATTAGCAGCTTTACTTCTAAGTCAGCCTTTCTCTTGGCCGCGGTCAGCCTGGTCAGCTGAGGCAGTTTCGTCACATACCTCAGCTGCTCCGGCCAAAGTGAAACAAGTGTAGCGCTCACAAAGGAGCGTGAAGTGCACTTGTTTTCACTCACCACATTAAAACTCAGACACTGGAAACTAAAAGTTAACAGCATGCTGCTGTCAAAGCTACGGACCCAGGTTGTTTTGTTGAGCTTTATTGGCCGAGATTAAAAATACTACAAACAATAATAATCCATAAATACTATTTTTTCTGTCAACTCCGATCACATCAGCAAGCAATCCCTTGTCTCTGTGTGTGTGCTGCAAGTTAGAGGACAGACTGAGCAATGATCAAACACAACCCTGCACCTGACTAAAAAGTGTTCAGTCATGAAGAGTTAACTTTTCCCACCACCGCATGATGATCTGTGCATGTGCTGGTTCTGAGATGGGCCGCGGGGGGTTTGTGTGTGTGTGGCAGTGGTTGTGGTTGTGGGTGGGGGGGGGGGGGGGGGGGGGGTGTTGAGTCAGTGAGGAGAGGCAGGTCAGGGGGAGGGTGTGACTGGCCTGGCGGACCATAGCGAGGGAACAGTATGTAGGACAGGGCCTTGCACTAGCTAACCTATCCTGGCTGGAGCCGTGGTTGGGTGTACTGAATTTCTGCATGCATGATCAATGGCAGTGAATAAAAAAAAGAGAGAGAGAGGAGAAAGACAGCAGCGTGGGGGAGGGGAAGGAACAAGTTGGAGCAACATGAAAAGATATAGAGAGGTTAAAGGGAAAAAAGTTCTGGTTTTACCTGAACTGTTGTGATATTGAAGCGTGCTGTTTCTCTAAGCGATTATTATTTAAAGACAAGAAATACAATGAGAGAACTGTTGGGAAACAGATTTTTGTAGCCTGAGAAACTTTGACTAAGTTGTTTTATGGGCTTAAGCAACAGCTTTGGCAGATTTTAGTGTGTGTGAAAGCAAAATTTGCACAGTTATGTGTGTGAGTGTATGTGCCTGGGTAAGTGTATGAGAAAGGTTTTCAGTGCATTCATTCCACGTCTCATTTTGGCTTTTGCTCTATGCATCTTCATCCCTCTGTCTCCTTGTCACAGAAGTTTGTCCAATCCTTGGCCTTTGTTTCCTTGACTGCATCTGACCCAGAGTAAGATTCCATTGTTGGTGAGTGAACTTTGACCTCTCGGGGCCTGGGACCTGCTCTACGCCACCCTCCAGGCAGCTCCAAAGGGCGAGGCGAGAAGTGGCGTCGAGAGAATGGTGCTAGAGAGCCAGGTTCTGATCATCTGAAAAGCTAGTGGGGGAGCCTCGGTGGACAGTTTTTCAGAGCCAGGAGCCGTCATTTGAATGTGACGCAAAATGTAAACAAGTAGTTCCAGGAAGACATCATTGAGTTAAACGTAGTCAATGGATAATGAAAAGGGATGAAAATGGAGTGTTTGTACAAGCAATAAGAAAAAAAAAAGAAAGAAAAAAAGAAAATCCTTTAAGGCGGAAGCCAGGAGGCCATTTTAAAGCGCTCCATTTGCTGTGGGTGTTTTTTCCACCTGGCAGGTGGCGAGCTGAAGAAATCATTACATGAGAGAGAGGAGAAGGGAGGAAACGAGCACACCTGTGCTTGTGCCAGGAGCCCCACCTCTTCTCCAATCACAATCCCTGCATCCCCCAGGGGAAGGTGTGGCAAAGGAAGAGACAAAGGGAGGAGTGAAAGGCAGAGGAAGGAAGAGATTGCGGGGGAGATTTACATGCCTCTCTTAACAGTTGACTGAGGGTTGAGTTAACCTTTTATTAATCAAACGCACACAAAACAAACTGGACTGGGGGTTCTGGGGAGACTTCCAAAGGTGGCTGCGGGCTTCCTGTAAGCACCAACACACCACAAACTATTTACCTTGATGACTATTTCTGTCTGACAGCCACATGAGTGTAAGCAGCGGCGGAAATCTGCACTGTAATACCACACAGACAGTTGGGCAGACGAATGCAGGAACAGTACACTCACACACACAAGCTGCACAAAGGCTTCTGCCTACACATCAGCAGAGACCTAACACTTAAAGACAGATTGTCAATACTGCACTCGCCACCATGGAAATTGGTCGGGGAATCACAGTTTGTTAAAGGACTGTCTATCCATCACTGCTGCCCTGAGTGCTTTATTAACTTGCGGATAACTAATTATCTGCTATCTCTTGTCACATCTACAAAGCCTTGCTCAGCATCGCATTAAATCACCACATCCGCTAGGTCAAAAATTAGATCTTTATTTAAATGCAATGCATAATACCTTTTTAAAAAATGCATTAAAGTAGGTTCTCACCTACAGGGAAACAACAGCGAGTGTTTATGAAGGTAGCTGTGATGATGAAGGTGTTTATTTATATTTATAGTACACGCTCCATCCTACATGTTTTCACCCTGACCTTTTTCAGGGGTTGAGATGATGTCACAGAGTAATTGCTGGAAATGACATAATGACACAGATGGAGTCACGACCATCTCTGAGAACATCGTTGTGCTGACCTAAACTAAGAGGACCGTGTGGTGACTCATCTCTTTTCTTTATAACATGGTGTTTAACACATGATGGATTTCGCACCAGGGCCTTGGAGAGCAACAACGGATGGAAAGATGGAAAAAAATCAAAACAAGAAAGGGAGAGTGAACATGAGAAATACAATTAAGATGGGTTAGAGGTAGTGTGTGTGTGTGTGTGTGTGTGTGTGTGTGTGTGTGTGTGTGTGTGTGTGTGTGTGTGTGTGTGTGTGTGTGTAGATTTGGAAGAGAGAGAGATGGATGGATGTAGCTGGATGTTGTTGTTGGGGGTGATGGGAGAGAACCAAGAAAGACTGTTTTGTATTGATGGCAAGAAATCCATGCTCTCTCCAAAGTACCTTACAGTCACAGTCACACACACACACACACACACACACACACACACACACACACACACACACACACACACACACACACACACACTTACGAACAAGTGGAGTTATAGTGTGTCCCTGTATCTCTTTTAATCCTTTTTCCACTCCCCCCCTCCATTTCTTTTCACAGGACCTATCAACACCATTCCTAGCTGCTATTTATAGAAGACCACTGTCCCCCCCGTCCCCCTGCTTGCATGTGTAGATCCGTATGTGTGAGTGAGTGTGTTTCAGGGGAACCTCGATAAACCTGTGCTTTTCACTCCTAATCTCAATGTGGCGCGATTCACTGAACAGGATACATGGGGAAGCCAGTTACAGAGATATATGTGTGCACGCGGGGGAGGGTGCGTGAATACGCTTGATTTATCCCACCTGTCCACTTGTTTCCGGTGTGTGTGTGTGTGTGTGTGTGTGTGTGTGTGTGTGTGTGTGTGTGTGTGTGTGTGTGTGTGTGTGTCAATCCACAACTGGCTGCTGAAATGTGTTCCACGAAGGCCTGGGAACACCCAATCATCCCTGGAAAGTGTGCTTATTTATTGCTGTGGATGTGTCTGTACGCACACGTGTATGGTAATTTTTGAGTCCTACTGGATATATCGAGATTCTTTTTATATCAACACATAGTTTAGTACAGTACAGCTGCGTTACTGCTGTGCTGCAGTGTGCAGGGCCTACAGCCTGATGGTGGTTATTGATTTATGAGCTCACAGTTAAATTGCACCCTGCTTTGTGGTCTAATCAGCAACTGACACACTGAGTCTTCACACCATCAGTTTGTATGTATTTTAAAGTAATACTTTACTTCGTTTCCGCTTCATGACCTAGGATCTGTAGGTTTATTAAATGTTTTCATGAGTGACATAGTTTATCGTTATGTATAGGATCAAGTAGGAGAGTATACCTTTAAATGTCTCCAGATGTAGTAAAGTAGTCCAACAAAACAGAAATATAAAATATATTTTTTATAACTTTGTTAACTCAACTACCAAAACGAGTTATTCACCGCCTACTGAAGTTCATCAGTGTGGAAGAAAGGCTGTTTAAGTAACTTTGAACGGCATGGATGTCAGTGCCAGACGAGCTGGTCAGAGTATTTCAGAAACTGCTGATGCGCTGGGAATTTTCACACAGAATCCTTTCTAGGGTTGAAAATGCCTCGTTGATGCCAGAGGTCACAGGAGCATGTCCAGACTGATGCAAGCTAATAAAACAGTAACTCAAATACAACAGTTACAAACAAGGTATGCAGAAGAGCTTCTGAGCAGACAGCATTTGAACCTTGAAGTGGATAGGTTACAGTGGCAGAAGACCACACCGGGTGTCACTTTTGTCAGCTAAGAACAGGAAACTGAGACTGCAGTTGACACGGGCTCATCAAATTTAGATAACAGATATGAGGAAAATGTTGCCTGGTTTGATGAGTCTCAGTTTCTGCCTCAACATTTAGATGGCAGGGTCAGAATTTGGTATTAATGACATGGATGCATGGATCCATCTTGTCTTGCATCAGTGGTTCAGGCTTGTGGTGTAATAGGGGATATTTTCTTGGTACACTTGGGCATCTTAGTACCAACCATTGTTTAAACACCACAGCCTACCTGAGCATTGCTGATGACCTCGTCCATCCCTTGATGACCACAGTGTACCATCTTCCGATGGCAGCTTCCAGCAGGATAATGCACAACAAAGTCTAGCTCATCTCAAACTGGTTTCTTAAACGTTGCAGTGAGTTTGCTGTACTCAATCCAACAGAGCACCTCTGGGATGCGGTGGAACGGGAGATTCACGTCACGGATGTGCAGCAGACAAATCGGCAGCAGCTGGGTGACTACATGTCAATATGGACCAAAATCTCTGAGAAATGTTTGCAGCACCTCGTTGAATCTATGCCATAAAGAATTAAAACAGCTCTGAAAGCAAAAGGGCAACCAACCAAATACTAGCAATCTGTATCTAATAAAGTGGCCCTTTATGCAATTGTGGAGCTGCTAGAGATGAAAACAGATGAAAACACCAGACTCGCTATAATCAAATTATTTTCTCTTAGCAATAAAAAAAATTATCATCTTTCTCCTGATTATTTTCCATTTGCGAATTGTGTCCCCAGCTTTATTCTTTTTAATAATTTTCCTTCTTGCATAGTTTAGCTCGCATAGTCAGTCACCGTTAGCAAATGCTAGTAGCTAGCACTCTGTTAGTGGCTAAAGAGTGTTGTTGGAAAACAAAAAACAAAACAAAAAAAAACAGAAAATGAATGCTGCACCTAAACAGGTTTTTCCTCACACTTTAAAACCAACTCTCCTTGTGATGTCCATACTGTCTAAAACACTCTCATTACTGTAGCTAAATTAGATTTTTTTTTTTTTTTTTTTTTTTTAGCCACTTCCTAGCCAAAGTTGCAAAACAACGATTCAGGAAATCATTTTAGGGTGAGCTAAAATGGTTTTTATGTCACATCCCCAATCCCATGTGCTATTATAAGATATATTAAAGGTGTATTCAAGGATGGTGAAAATGTAGATTCTATGACAATGATTTAATGTGCCTGAACACCAGATCAAATAGGGTGATAATGAGCAAAGGATTTACTTTGAGAAACAATAGGAGAAAGCAGGTAGGACCTGAATGGGCAGTAAAAAAAAAAAAAAAAAAAAGATTTAAAAAATGGTGGGTGCATGTATTGTTACATATGCAGTGTGTGCTTCTGTGTGCATGTGTGTGTGCAGCTGTGCAGTGCCAGAGCAAAGGGAGGAGAGAGCAGAGGGGGTCCATTATAGGTCTTTGTGTGGCTCAGATTGTCCTCTTCTCTGGGAAAGTGGAAACTCAACACTCCAGTCCAGAGGTCTGGTTACCAGGTGAGAGAGAGGGAAAGAAAAGAAAAAAGGAAAAAAACACAGCGTGAGAGGGAGGCAATGAAAACTGCATAGGTGTGGAAAGAGAAAACACCATGAGACTTGCAGTCTAGGAACTGGAAACAGATGGAAACTGAGAGAGATGAACCCAGATACAAGACAAACAACGATCTGATTAAAATCACAAGAGTCCAAAATGGGATGATCAAAGTGGACTTATTTTTGAAATGTACTGCATGAAGTCCTGCCCTATTTTATGTAACTTTTGGTAAAATAGTGGTAGGAAGTTAACATGACGTAATCAGTTTCATGTCTCGTGTATAAATCAGTCATGCATGAATATAAGGAGTTCAGATCATGGCCTCATTTGAAGCCCTAACCAAACACAAGAAATGAATGCAAACTTGTCCCATCACAATGATTTTTTAAAAAAAAACAACAACAATAAGAAACAAAAACAAACTTAAAGCATAAAACAACTAAACTGGCACCGGTGGCACTAAATGTATTATGGTACAACTCCTCCTAGTGGCCATGTTTGGGATATTCTCATTTCAAACTTAACTTTTCCCATTCTGACAAATGAAACAAGCTTCACACATTTTCTACCTGAAAATGTACATTTATTTAATCATTTCACTTTTTACAAATTATGTATATTTATATATATGTATATACTTTACAAACACCACCTTAAACCCCGAACACCAAAGTTTACAAATTACCATGAGATAGTATGCTGTCCAGTTAGGATAAAGACAAACTCAAATATCAGATATAATCAAGCTTTTAAGACATTTGTGATAAGGAATTGGAAGTACAGATAATCAAATCTAAATGTTCAAAAAGAAATCTTCATTTTTATTGACTGCTGTCACCAAGAAAAAGGGACGTAATTTGCTCATTTCCAGATTAAGAGTAGTGCTGTGTGATTCACATTTTCTAATAATCTACAATTACCTTACAGTGGGACGTCCTCTATCTAAAAAAAGCCATTTTAAGCTCCCTACCCCTGTTAAAACAATCTACATTTGATTGTTGTCTCTTGCAAAGACAAGGTTTGAATAGCAGGTGGGTGCTGCCGGTGTGCTCACAGTGAGAGATGACCATCTTAAGGATATCACAGCTCTGTGGCATCATACAGAGCCAAGAGCTTGTGGTGATAACTTGTACATATGCTGACCTTGTTATCTGAGACCTTGTTATAAATCAGCATCTGTTAGCGTAACGGTAAATGACAGAAAATAAGGACAAACATAACAGCTCCACTTTGAAATAAGGAAACCAGAACATATTTGGGACACTTCTGCTGCTCTTTGAAGATACCAGGGGGAAATTTCTACTTGACATGTCCTTTCTTAACGAGCCGTCACAGAACTGTAAAATAAAAAATAAATAAATAAATAAAAAAACAGTGATAATGTCAGAAACCTTTGGTTGAATTCAGAGTCTTATACAGTACTACTATTGACGTGTCAGTTTGTGTGGGCGGAGAGGGAGATAGGGAGGGGGCTGCAGGAGTGACCATGTGCGTTTGACAGGAGTGTTTTTGTGGATGGCTCCTCTGTTTCTCCCCCGACATTGTCTGGAGTGGATTGTGGAGGCGGTAGCTCTGAGAACAGCTGCTTCTGACAAACCCTGTGTAAACACTATGTGTGTCACTCGGGGATTGAGTGTGCATGCGTGTGTATGCAAATGTGTGTGTGTGTGTGTTCACTCAATGGCTGTTAGGATACTTCTAAAACTGTAAAGAGAAGACTAATGTCCATCTGATCAATCTGAGCCACGTGTTATACACGGCTGCAAATTGCAAACTCTCTCGGATTTTAAAGATTTCTCTATTTTCAAAAGCCTATAAATGTAACCTCTGTCTCACACTAATGCAAAACACCTCCTGAAAGTGATTGCAACGAATGGTAATTCATCTTTACAAACACTGGAGGCAACTGAACCGTGTCTGCAGCAGCTCTCGGGCCAGGTATGAACCGTATGTATGTTCAGCAACATGCACGTGTGCCTATGTATATATCAATAAAAGTGAGCAGATGGACGTGTATGAGCATGTTCGTGTGTTTGTGTGTGTGGTTACACGCAAGCAGGCAGACATCACTGTCCTCCGTTGTAAGCATAATCTGCCTTGTTGTGCATGACCAGTCTGTTCTCGACAAAGTAGAAGCTGTCTGACCGAGTCTCATAAGGACACTCCACCATCTGATGGACTGCAAAACAGATGATAAATGCATGTCAGTGAAAACGTTTTAAATATCCATGTAAGTAAAACTTAAAAATAAAAACAAAACAAAAAAAAACCTTCAGTAACTATTGCTCCTTGAGAAAAGACTCAGCAACATCACAAGGTATAGTGTATGCATACAGATACCCAAGTAAATATAACTGTTTATTAAAACAGTAATGCTGTGTGTATTATACACTGTCATGTATGCTAACGTACTGGAAAAGCAATAAAAATTACATCTTTCAAAGTTTTTTTTTTGCTTTTTTTTTTTAAGTTCTTTGTGTTTTGCTTCATCTGATCCCTCTGTGATAGTCGAGTGTAGATTACCAGACAAAACTTTGGCAAGAAACCGACACAGACTGTCTGGATTTCGACTATGTTTAGCTAGCTCGTTACTGAAGCTTCATATTAGCTTTGGCTAAAGTTTGTTTTGTGTGTTGTTGCTTCAAGAAGGATTTCTTCCTGGCCAGAGTGAAGAGTAGCAACTATCACAGCAGCCAAAAACAGTTTCAAAGTACATATGGCATTTATGGTTAGTATTATAGTATTAAGGCAGGATTAAAAACCTAAACCATGGCCAAGTGTTGAAGAAAATGGCATAATGTCTCATACAGAGAATTTGTGTGATGTTCTGGATACAATTAGAGCCGCATTTCCAAAAACACAACACTCTGTAAAATTTATTTAAGAGTCTATCTAAAAAACATGCTGGGATGGGGGCAAACAAAAGCCTGGGAAAGGAAGTGGTACTAAAAAAAAAATTTTCTAACTGACCTGCTAAAGTGGCAGCAGGTCAGCAACAAGACTAGGCATAAAAAGAGAGGCAGAGGTTGGAAAGAAAAGCATCTGGACTTGTTTAACTTCCCTGAAGACCTTACACCTCTCATCCGAAAAGCTTCTTCAGTTCTAAGACCAAATGGTGGAGAGTCCCAGGTATTTAAGCCCTAATGGGAGCTGTCTTCAAGAAACCTAAAGACGTCCGGTCGCTTTTCCTTCCGAGCTCCTTAGATTACCATGGCCTGCATGACTACATGAGTGTCTCAAAAGTAAAGATTGTCAATTGTTCACCAATCTACAGAAAAACAGTGAACAATTGAACACTGAACAGTTTCAGAATAATTTTGCTCAATGTAAAGATGTGAAGACTTTAAATATATCATCATCTACAGTAAGGCAAGGCAAGGCAAGGCAAGGCAAGGCAAGTTTATTTGTATAGCACAATTCAACAACAAGGTGATTCAAAGTGCTTTACAGAGACATTAGAAACAAGAACAAATAAAAAGCATGATTTAAAATTGATTAAAACAAGCAAATAAACTAACTAACTAATTAACAAACAAACAAACAAACAAACAAACAAACAAAACAGTATATAAAATCAAAACAGATAAAATCAGAACAGTAGATAAAATCAGTAGTTAAATGTAAGTTTTGAAATTTAAGCTTAAAGTGTGGATTTGGTGCTTTATTCAAATGCAGCTGAGAACAGGTGAGTCTTCAACCTGGATTTAAATAAACTGAGTGTTTCAGCTGATCTGAGGCTTTCTGGGAGTTTGTTCCAGATATAAGGAGCATAAAAGCTGAATGCAGCTTCTCCGTGTCTGGTTCTGACTCTGGGAACTGATAAAAGACCGGATCCAGATGACCTGAGGGATCTGGATGGTTCATACTGGGTCAGGAGGTCATTGATGTATTTTGGTCCTAAACCATTCAGAGCGTTATAGACCAGCATCAGAACTTTAAAGTCTATCCTCTGACGGACAGGCAGCCAGTGTAAGGACCTCAGAGCTGGACTGATGTGGTCCACTTTTTTGGTCTTAGTGAGGACTCGAGCAGCAGAGTTCTGAATGAGCTGTAGTTGTCTGACTGATTTTTTAGGTAGACCTGTAAAGATGCTGTTACAGTAATCAAGCCTACTAAAGATGAATGCATGGACTAGTTTTTCCAGGTCCTGTTGAGACATCAGATCTTTTATCCTTGATATATTCTTGAGGTGATAATAAGCTGACTTTGTTATTGTCTTAATGTGTTTTTCTAAGTTTAGGTCTGCATCCATCACTACACCCAAATTTCTCGCCTGGTTTGTGGTTTTTAGATGTATAGATTGAAGTTCTCTGGTGACCTGTAATCGTTTTTCTTTGGCGCCAAAGACTATTACCTCAGTTTTGTTTTTGTTTAGCTGGAGAAAATTGTGGCACAACCAGTCATTGATTTCCTCAATGCATTTACCAAGAGCCTGTACAGGGCCTCGGTCTCCTGGTGACATTGTGATATATATTTGTGTGTCATCTGCATAGCTGTGATAGTTTATTTTGTTGTTGTTTATAATCTGTGCCAGTGGGAGCATGTAGATGTTAAACAGAAGGGGTCCCAAGATGGAACCTTGGGGAACTCCACATGTGATACTTGTCTGCTCAGATGTGAAGTTACCTATTGATACAAAGTATTTCCTGTTTTCTACGTATGTTTTGAACCAGTTTAGTACAGTTCCTGAAAGACCTGTCCTGTTCTCCAGTCGTTTGAGTAATATGTTGTGGTCAACTGTATCAAATGCTGCACTGAGATCCAGTAAAACTAGGACTGACATTTTTCCACTGTCTGTATTCAGACATATGTCATTAAACACTTTGGTCAGAGCGGTTTCAGTGCTGTGGTTCTGTCTAAAACCTGACTGGAAGGCATCGTAGCAATTATTCTGTTTTAAGAAGTAACTGAGCTGTTGAGAAACTGCTTTTTCAATGATCTTACTTAAAAACGGGAGATTTGAGATCGGCCTGTAGTTGTTCATTTGTGTCTTGTCAAGATTGTCCTTTTTCAGTATAGGTTTGATTACAGCAGTTTTTAGTGATTCTGGAAACACACCTGATAATAAAGAAAAGTTGACGATCTGTAACAGGTCTGACTCTAAAGTCTTTGAGACCTTTTTGAAAAAACTTGTTGGCAGGACATCTAAACAGCAGGAGGAGGAGTTCAGTTTACCTAAGATGTCCTCCAGGTCTTTGCTGTTAATAGGTTGAAACTGTTTCATGGTGTTTAAACAGTTTTTTGGTGGACACAGTACATATCCTGGATCTGCTGTTGATGTACCAATTGCTTGTCTAATTTTTTGGATTTTTTCAGTGAAGAATTTGGCAAAGTCATTGCAGGCCATGGTCGAATGAAGTTCAGCTGCCACTGACACAGGAGGGTTTGTTAGCCTGTCAACTGTAGAAAATAAGACCCGAGCATTATGGCTGTTTTTAGTGATGATGTCAGAGAAGTAGGACCTCCTTGCATTCCTCAGTTGTAAATTATAATTGTGAAGTTTCTCTTTATAAATGTCATAATGAACCTGGAGGTTTGTTTTTCTCCATCTGCGCTCAGCTTTCCTACACTCTCTTTTTTCTTTTTTCACCAGTGTGGAGTTTCTCCATGGAGACTTTTTCCTTCCAGAGATAACCTTCACCTTAATGGGAGCAATAGTGTCCATTACATTTAACATGTTAGCATTGAAGCTATTGACGAGCTCATTGACTGACCCTGACCCTCTGGGCAGGTCAGGTGTTAATGGGAAGACCTGGTTAAAAATTGCACTACTGTGTTCAGTTATACACCGTTTTGTGATCACTGCTGTTGATATATTTGTGTGGGCTGAGATTTTACTTTCAAAGAAAACACAGTAATGATCAGACAGGCCCACATCAGACACAGTAACCTTTGAAATGCTCAGGCCTTTGGAGATCAGTAGGTCAAGAGTGTGTCCTCTATTATGTGTGGCCTCTGTTACATGCTGAGTCAGCCCAAAGTTGCCCAGAGTGTTACTCAGGTCTTTAGTCCCTTTGTCCTGAGGGTTTTCCACATGAATGTTAAAATCCCCAGCAATAATTACACAGTCAAAATCAACACAGATCACAGACAGCAGTTCACTGAGGTCATTAAAAAAGTCTGTGCAGTATTTGGGAGGCCTGTAAACATTAAGAAACACAACTTTGGATGGGGCCTTCAGCTGTAAAGCCACATATTCAAAAGACTGAAAACTTCCAGGAGATAGCTGCTTACATTGAAATGATTCATTAAATAAGACAGCAACCCCTCCTCCTCTCCTGCTCGGCCTGACCTCACTGATAAAACTGTAGTTAGGAGGGGTCGTCTCGATGAGAACAGCTCCACTGTTACTTTGGTCCAACCAAGTTTCAGTTAAAAACATAAAATCAAGGCTGTGCTCAGTGATTAAATCATTAATTAAAAATGTTTTCCCAGCTAGAGATCTAATGTTTAATAAAGCCAACTTAAGTGTTTTAGAGGTATTACTTGTCCCCTCGTGTTTGGGAGCAGTCTGTGGCACACAAGGTATGTTTACTATGTTTAAAGATCTTTTAGAGTGCACCTCTCTGTGTTTTGACCAGGCCACATGTCTCCTGTCACCTAAAAGTACAGAAATTTTAAAACCTTCTAGTAAACAGGGTCCCAGCTTCTCCTGGGAAAAGTCATCACTGCCATAATCCTCACAGCCCGGACCCTTCACACATCACGCATCAGACTGCGGATGACAGGGCATGAAGAGGAACTAAGGGGGGCGAGGCTGGGCAATGTGACTTCGATTGCTCTGTTGAGGGTGGGGCTCGATGGCGAACCTTTGGCCGCTCTGGTGGGAGGTTTATGGGGGACAAAAAGGGATTGGGACGGGGGGTAGATCTGAGCCCAGCATTGACCCGCTCCATCATCTCCTCAGTGAATTTCAGGTGTGGGGAGGAGGGAGAAAGGGAGGGGGAGGAGGGTGATGGCCTGTCAGGGGTTTGGGGGACTGGGGAAGGTCGTGGTCCCTTGTCCTGGTCGTTGGTGTTGTTGAGAGAGTTGGAGGCAAATAGGGACCCCTCTTCTTGCCTTAGATGTCTCTCCTTTCTGAGGCTCTTCCTCAGATGCCATGGATGTCTCTCCTTTCTGAGGCTCTTCCCGGGTGGGGGCAAATGGAGCTCCTCCTCAAGGTTTCTGCTGGGCTTTGTCTGTTCTTGGAGTACTGTTTGTTCCTCTTTATGAGATAACTCCTCGTTTATCTCAGCCTTGGCACCAAGCACGGATGGATGACGTATGGAATAAAACAAGTTGGAGGTGAACAGTTTCACCCCTGACTTGTTAAAATTAAATCCATTTGCTTTGAACAGATGCCTGCGTTCCCAAAAAATATTAAAGTTGTCGATAAAGTGCACTGAGTGGTCAGCACATGCTGATATAAGCCATTTATTCAGTGTAAACAACCTGCTGAATCTCTCGTCTCCTCCTCTGACCGGCGGTACAGGTCCACTGATGAATACAGCTGCATTCAGAGAGTTTACAGTATTTAATAATCCAGTAAAGTCCCGTTTCAGAACCTCCGACTGTTGTTTGGACACATCGTTTGACCCTGTATGCAGAACAATGTTTGTCACAGTTGGATATTCATCTGCAATTTGAAGAATTCTCTCCTTCAGGTTGTTGACCATATCGTTAGGAAAGCAGAGGACTTTAGTGTTCTTACCGCACATCCTTTGTACATCCTTTACGGCAGAGTCACCCACAATCAGAGTTTCAGGCCTAGCCTTTAGCTTTCCCTGTGGCCTTTCACTTTTCAACAGATTTTCAGACCTTATTTCGCTGCTTTTAGATGGATGGTTGTCCGATATAGATCCAGGGTCCTTTGATAGTGGAGCAAATCTGTTCTGCAGTTTCACATTCAGTTGTTTTGGAGGTTTGTTGTTAACCTTCCTATTCACGGTTGTCCAGTCCTGTTTCCTCCCGTATATAGGGGTAGAAGAGCTTCTCTGTCTCGTAGGAAGTGAAGACCAGTCGGTTTCAGAGATTTCAGCTCGCTGTGCCCTGCCTGTGATACGTCCTCCCCCTTCCAGGAGACATGATTTATGTCTTGGTTTTGCACCAAGACAGTCTAAGGGGGGATTATCACTTGAGGATTTATAATAATGCACAGAGTCTACTTTCTTGGTCATGTTATCTGTGCTCCTTAGCTGTGTACTAGCTTGCTCATCGCCATTGTTTTGAATCAAAGGCAAGGTTGTTTCATTTCCACACAGTCCATTTACCTCCACGTTTACTTCTAAGCGATGAATTTTTGTCTCCAGTACTGCAATCTTCTGCAGGAGGCTGTGGTAGTCATCTGTGGAGAGGGAAGGCATCTTGTTGCTAGTTAGCCTAGCGGTTAGCACCTTTCCAGGCTATTGAGGCTGCTCGGTGCCCAGACGCTGTAATCAGGCTTCAGCTGTGTCTAGGCCACAGACACACGGAGCGCTGAGGACAAGGTAACCATAAAATGTTGCTGTTTCTGTTAAGAACACTCTAGTCCTAATGATCTACAAGTGTCCAGAAGTTATCGCAGGTAAGCTCACACGGAAAAAAGGGAAAAAATCAGCATAAAAATCAATAAAAATCAATATAAGAAGCAAAGCATTAAAGAGCAAAGAGATGAAGCGTCCACACTCACAAAGGGGAGGAGGGGAGGATATTACAGTAGGTAATATCATCAAGATTCAGAGAATCTGGAGAAATCTCTGTGCGCAGTGGACAATGGCCTTCAAGCCTTCAGGCAGCACTGCATTAAAAACAGGCATGATTCTATCCTGGAAATCATGGACTCAGGAATACTTCTAGAAATCACTGTCTGTGAACACAGTTCACTGTGCTATCCACAAATTCAGGTTAAAGTGCTATCAAGTGAAGAAAAAGCTATAATGTGCACATGATTGAGAAATGCTGAAGAGGGAACATCTGAATTGTTATCAGTTCCAAACCCTGCATCTCTGACGTGATGGGGGTGCATTAATGCCTACTGAATTAGCAGCTTGCACATTTGGAAAAAGACACCTTCAAAGCTAAAAGGTATATACAGGTTTTAGTGCAACGTATCCCCCCGTCCAGACGACGTCTTTTTCAGTGAAACCCTTGGATATCTCAGCAAGACAATGCTAAACTGTGTACTGTGTCTATTACAACAGCATGGCTTCATTGTCGAAGACTTCTCACCAACTGAAATTTTTAATTCATCATAAAATTAAAATCACAAAACGTTTCTAATTATAATTTAGTTATTTGGTACTGCTCAATAACTATATTCTTATATTAGATACGAATAGGATAACATTTAGGTCCAGCAGCTGGTTCCCAGAGATCATTTATGGACTGTTGTTAAAACCAGCAGTCCATAAATGATCGTGTAACACATTTTAGAGATGTGCTGCTGCCATTAAATTTAAAAGGATCTCATTTTTTTTCTTAAAATTATATTTTTTTGATTGTAAATATTTGATATGCTTTCTATGTTCTCCTGTGAATAAAATATTGGTATAGGAGATTTGCAAATCATTCAAGCATTCTGTTTTTATTTACATTTGACAGTGTGACAACTCTTTTGGAATTGGGGTTGTACCTATGTAAGAGCAGAAATAGGTCAGGCTTAATAAAACTGCAAAAACCTTTTGGCTAGCTGCTGATATGTGTATCAGTGATGACGTCGCCAGCAAAAGTCCTGCTAAAATGTAACCAAATGTTTACTGTTGTGCTTAGATGCATGACAAATAGGGATTTAAAAATCCATTGAAGCAAATGTCAAGAATAGGAAATGCTGATGTATTCCTTTGGTATGTGCATGGTACAAAATACCAAAAGTTAGTCTTCTTCTAGACAATCAACATTTGATAAAACGCTATCACTTTTCCACAGTTTGCTGTTAAAATCTCCACGTGGGAAGGTTTCGGCATTTGTATGCTCTTGTTATGGTTATAAGTTTTAAAAAGGTGACTCACCCAGGCTCTCAGACAGCTGAGGGAACTCATAGATATGCTCACAGGTATTACGGCTGTTCGGGATGCAGAAGCCAAAGTCAAAATCAAAGCTCTTCAGCAGGTGATCACGGAAGTAGTGCCTTTCGATCATGCGAAAGTTGCTTAGAGGCCGGTTCCCAACCGTGAATTCCACCCTGAGTGAATGAAGTAAGAAAGAAAGAGGGAAGAAAGGAGATCAGGGTGTTAACAACTGCAGGTTTTGCATTCTTATATAATTCGAAAATTAGAAGCTTATTACAGTCACATGGATAGTAGGCATGGGCGTGTAGCTGATAGAAGATAATGCTGTAATTGTTTTCACTGTTTGCGTACGGAGCAGGTGAGGTGTGCGTAGATTATGCGTGAGTCACTCACGTGGCTCCCACGGTCCGCAGCTGCAGGAATGCTGGGGTGAACTGGTAGCGTACAAACCGGCCTGTGCTAGCGTCTGACTCTCTGTTCTCCTCATCATCATCTGATACCAACAAGATTAGGCAGAGACGTTTTCTGTGATCCATACTGAAGACTATTTTTAATCAAAATAACAGGTGACAGATGTTTCCAAACCCAGCTTATTTAAAACCATTTAGGAACCCTTGTCAGGAGGGTCAAGCCCTTTGGAGGCAGCTACTTATGACTGTCATCTGCACCTGCATTACAGAAGCTACTTTTGATTGCTTCCTTATTCACAAGGGGTGACCTCCACAGAACCTTTCCTGATTTGTGTTTCCCCTCAGTTCCAGGTGTCTTCCTGGGCTTGAACCAGGGATTTCCCTCTTTTTTTCTTTTTTTTTTTGTTGCTTCTTAGGCAAATAAACAATAACAGCAACAGTAACAAAAAACACTACTATGGAGCTAATCTGCATCTACATTACCACATAAATAAAACACAAGCAGTGAGCTAATACACACTACCTGTATGTGGGGGTTTGGCAATCTCAAACAGGACCGTGTCTGTCTCCAGGTCTCTGATCTTGAAGCGGACAAATTCGATGTTGTAAATATTGTCCTCGGGTTTACAGAGGTATCCTGTAAATAATGAGAGAGACCAAAGGAGTTATTCCCCCCGGAATCATTCCCGAGCTATCGCTCTTAAAATATAAAAGCAGGCTGCTTTTGTATTTTTGCAAAATGTGTTACAGACAATGCTCAGACTCTGATTACACAGCTTTGCGTCCACATTTGCACATGCAACTTTGAATATATACACATACACTGTTTATTTTATGGCATACAACCATAAAATGAGTCGAACTGTGGAGCTTTTGCCTCAGTGCAGGTCTATCAGGGATCAAAATGCACAGCCACACTCTGTGTTCTTATATTAAAGGGTAGATCAATATAAGCATTGATCGTGCTTTTACAATTTAGTTGTCATAAACAAAGACATTATCACACAAAGCTTGTTATTTGGCTTCCACGATTTTAATTCTCTTTCTTAGATCATGTGCTCTCGACAGCTATACATGTAGGCCATAGCACATATCATAATCTACTCAGCTGTATTTTTTTAATTTAACGAAGACCTTACCTAAGACCACCCAGATCAGCCCCACTGTGTACACAGCAGTGCTTTGTTTTGTTTGTCGGACATTTGTTAGGAGTTTAAAGTCCTAATATGATCTTTGGCACTAGCCAACTGTGACAATAGAAAACGTCTGCTATTTATTACAATTCAAGTGCCCATTAAGATGCTTAAAAATAGAAAGACTGGCTACTGCCGTGACAGTTGTTTGTGTTGTCAGGTATGTATTTCTCCTCTCCATCTCGAACAGCATGTTATTAGGGTATCGCTTGCTCTAGATTTATGTCAAAATTTAATCTGCTGTTTCAAAGACAGAGGCTCAAACCTCGAGTAGCTACTCGCAGTCCCAGCACGTCCTCCGGGGTCATGTGTCCAGTCCGTGCCCGGAGGTCTTCCTCCGTGACGGCCCTGCCGTCCACCTGCTGGCTCCTTCGGGACTTGAGCCTCTTCAGAACTCCTCCGCCTGGCTTGCGGTCCCGCGGAGGAGCCGCAGTGCCGTGCCCGCCGCTGGTGACATTTTCAGCAACAGGCAGGTCGCCGCGGGATTTGGCTCCGCTCATCCTCCCCCTACTCCTCAGCTTCCCTCCTATTTAAACGAGTGCTTATCTAAAGGCTTGAAAAAGAAGAAGAAGATGGCGCCGGGGATGTCGAATGTCGAAAGAGCTGTGGGTGAACGGTCAAGCGCTTGTTTTTGTAAGCGCATGCTGTACAGTTGCCATGACAACCTGCTTGGCGAGCCTAGAGCCCGGTGAACTGTGGAACTTCCCCGAGACTTCCACAAGGGGGGGTGGATGATGCATTAGCTCTTAAAATAAAATAAAATAAAATAAAATAAAATAAAATAAAATAAAATAAAATAAAATAAAATAAAATAAAATAGATAATAATTTCCATCATGTAGAATGAATTCTTTGCTTATCAGTACTCTTAAACTGCAGCTTTGTATTAAAAACTGTTATAACATTGAAACGCTGTACGTATCTGTAATGTAAAAATCTGTAAAGTATCACCTATAGACTCACCTATAGTTGGATAAAAGCAGCTGAGTATGAGTATAAACTAACACAGGCTAAAATAAAAAAAAAAATCCTACTTTGAGATCTTTACACCACTGCTGATTAATAAGGAAGTACCTTTTATTGGTTGTGATTGGTTCTGTGATGATGAAATGTATTTTTACCGTTCTGTATTGATATGTTCCCGCATCCGAAAACGTCACTAACACACACATAAACACATCTAGCACTGAAATAATTATTAAAAAGCCTTCTTAGTTTTCAAAGAAGTCACTCTTCTCAGATTTGCACAAAGTTCACTTGTGAGTTGTTTCTTGTTCTCGGCGCATGCAACGCAAATTAATGTCGTAAAGACTCAGGTGTTATGCAAATTCAGGTTTACTGTGTGAGTGCTGATGCCTGCTGTTAAAAAACCCAAGGTACCCTCGCTGCCATGAAGCAGTATGAGCTGGACGGATCTTATTCCTTTTCTCTCTGGGCAAAGTGGCTTTTCATCTCAGTTAGAACCTGTTAATCCAGTCCACTGAAAAGGAAACTACCGTCAAGTTAGATAAACTCACAGAGAACCTCCGGACTAAATTTTCAAAACAACAAGGAGTTGGAAGGGGTTTTGCTGTCGTTCAATTAATGATAAGTGAGTTAAGTCATTTATTTATTTATTAAATTTTTCCAGGTATGTTCAAGCACTAGATACTGGTCCACCTTTTCAAACTGAGAATTTACCTTGCCCTAATGCAATAAACTAGCTGTTTTATTCCCGTTCCTTAAATCTCAGAGTCCTAAAACTTATCTTACCTGTTACAATTCTTAAGCCACACAGGAAGCTAACACTAGGTCAGAGTATTAAAAGGAAAAAATAGAGTACGAAAAATTATTCCACAGAAGCTTTAAGCAAAGAAATTTCCCATTTAACTCACGAGACGCTCCTTTTACAGGCTAGTAAAATGTCGCCTATTTAATTTAATACTAATACTAATTTAATTTAATAAGCTATTAGGCTGCAAAGCAGTGAAATATAAAATGATGTTAGCATATTATGTCACATAAAGATTTTTGTGGTTTTAATAATTTCAAAACTCGATAATATTTTTTCTTTGTGGATCCAAATGTGAAAGACTTTAACCAGCACTTCTTACTGTCAGCTCTGCTTTCATACTCAAACAAAAACATATATTTCAGCCAAACAACCTCTCCGGGCCCGACTCCTGTTAATGCACTTTTATTTTGAAGTGCACACACGCTTCTTCCGGTCTCCTGGTGTTTTCGCTGGAGGCAGCGTGGCTCGGACTGTGAGGCGGGTGGAGGGAGTGTCTGCTGGGTGTATGAGTTGGCTGACGTCTTGTTGGTGTGAATGAGCTGAAAACACACACACGTACACACACACACACTTGGTCTGACAACAGCTCGGCAGGCGAGACGATCACGGGAAACGGAGGAACAGTTTTCTTTTATATCTTCTTCCCGCTTCCTTCCCCCCTTCCATCTTTATGACTTCGTGAAGACGAAAGGTAAACACACTTGCACGCAAAAAGATTGAAAGAAAACTTTATAAAAAGCTAAGTGCTTATGTTGTTATCTTAATAATGGGAAGGGGTAAGTTTAGGGACAGGTGCACAACCTTTGTGACAGTGTAATGGGTGTTTTCCAAGCTTTGTGAAATAATTTGGCTGACCTACATCCTCATTATCAGTCCTCGCATCCTTACTTAAGAGCTGTGTCCAGAACACACAAGCTCGGATCACTCTTTCATTTCGCTTATATCGCCTTTCTTTGTCCACTTTGAGAGGACCCAGAGCCGGACACCGGCTCGGAGTTCACTATTGACGCGTCTACTAGTAACTTATTAACAACTCGAAATGAAACACAGGGATATAACGCTGGTTTAGCTGGTGAAGTCGTTTCGATTGGCTCTTTGAGACCAAACTGACGTCGAAGTAAGCGCGCTCTCACAGCATCACTGGGGAGAATAAATTGACCTAAACATAAAAACTAAAGGCAGCCAGTGTGGCCTTGACACGACAACGGGGGCACTAAAGGCAAACAGAGATAAAGAAAGTTAAAAGCCTGCAAGCAAAGTGCTACAGGAGACCGAGCTCTGCAGAAACCATCGAAAATAACTGACAAAAGCAAGGGCTGAAAGCCTTCTCTCCTCCAGAGTGTTTGTTTCTTAGGAATTTAGCTGCTGGGAAAATAGAGGAGGGGTAGAAACAAACTAGACACTTAAAAACAAAATTAAAAAAAATCATTGGGTGGTGCACACAGCTGTAGTCCAACCTGATTTCATTACACAATATCTTGCACACCTAGAGGTGTTGTGTTTAAGAAGTGTAGCAAAGAAGAAAAAAAGTAAATTGCATATCCCATGTAAAAATACCTAAGTGCACACATACTGAAAACTGCTGTTTGGAATCTAAACAGTTTATGCAAACCAGCTGCAGATTGATAACAATGCTCTATGAGCATTTTCTATTCTTTCTCAAGCTGTACTAGTTAGTGTTGAGAGTGTTAAAACTGCAGGGTGTGGAGTTACCGGTTTTAGTCTTACAGGACAAACCAGATGACATGCTGCACACAATGCCTGTGGTATTTAGTGTAGCAGATTTGGTCACATATTGTATTACTGTTATCTTTTTCACACGGTGTGTAAATTTGGCCCTTTTTTTGTGAGTGGGGAGGGAGGGAGGCCATTTCTGTTGGTCAAAGTGCTCATGTGACAGGTTGCTCAGGACAGTTGCAGTTTGTTTATCTTTTAGTGGTTTCAGATCAATGCCAGCTCCGGGTTTTGACTGTGCCAGAGTTGTAGATTGTATTATAGATGTATGGTACGGTTCACCAGGCCTGTTCCCTGCTTGCCTGTTTTGATCTTGATTACTTTTCCTTTCAGGTGTTCCCTCAATGCTTGGCACTTTCATCGTTGTGTAATACTTAACATTTGTAAATGTTATCACTTGGACCTGTTCAGAGCAGTTTATCTTGCTCATTCTCAATCAGTTAATTTTAGTTTCCCATTTTACGTACCACTAAACATCCTCAGTCAAGATGAGTCATCACACGCTGTCAGAGCTTCACTGTGTGTGAGAGTCTTACCATTTAACTATTTTAATTTTAGCTGGAGAAAAAGAGAAACAATCAAGGAAAGGTTCAGTGCATTTTATGTTATCAAAAGACCAAATCAAAGACTGAAACCTGAGGGAAAAAATATTAAAGCGAGTGGCAGGAAGACTTTTTTTTTAAATAGTGGCTGATGTTTGTTCAGAATGATTGATTAGTTTCTCTTTGCTTCTGTAGTAGAGTAATGCACTTTAAAAAATCTAGACAAACCAGACCATTCCCGTCTTCTTTGTGACAACATAACCGACTGGCTTTTTCTGTTCTGAGTATGAAATGGGTTTTCATTAATGGAAATTTGGAGTTTGCTGTGGATAAACATGTTCTGTTCTTCACTCGTCCTGTTTCAGCAACTCGGCCATGGAGAGCTCCGTCGAGGCTTCCAAGACTAGGGTCATGTCGAAACCCAAGCCACCGCTGGCCCCCAAACCTGGCCTCGCTCCCAAGCCCTTCTCTTTGCAGAAGAATACCACCATCCGCTCCATTCATGCCCCAAAGACGCTCCCCGCTACGTCGAAAATTCAAAACTCAGAGCCTTTGACCCCTCGTGCTCAAAAAACATCTCAGCCGGCTGTCACCTCAAATGCCAAACCAGGCTCTCAAAGTGAGCTTCCCAAAAGTCACCCAACAACAACCAAAGCTAGTGAAGCAGGTAAAGAGGAAACTCGTGACTCTAGTGTAGGAAAAACAGCCTCACAAACCAGTCGGCCCGAAGAGACAAAGAAAACTGAGCTCGTCCAGAAAGACATCATCCAAACAAACGACAAAGCTTCTGGAGATGTTGCAACTAATTCAGAGCAGAACAACGGAAAAGCGAAGGAAGATGAAGCTCGAGCTTCTGTTGTCAAAATGCGGAATCACTCAGGTAGCGATGGAGCCTCTTCAACCGATGAAACATTTAGTTGGGGTGGTGCTAGGAAGCGTCTGTCCATGGAGCTCACCTCGAAGTTTGAGTCAGGCGGTCTTTCTCTGCCCCCCCAGCCTACCATAGCTATCTCCACACACAACACCAAACGTGATTCAAATAAGCCAGCATCTCCTGCTCCAGAGCAGAAGCAGGCATCTCCAGAGCCGAAGCAGGCATCTCCGGAGCCGAAGCAGGCATCGCCGGAGCAGAAGCAGGCATCTCCGGAGCCGAAGCAGGCATCGCCGGAGCAGAAGCAGGCATCGCCGGAGCCGAAGCAGGCATCGCCGGAGCGGAAGCAGGCATCGCCGGAGCAGAAACAGGCATCTCCGGAGCCGAAGCAGGCATCGCCGGAGCAGAAGCAGGCATCTCCGGAGCAGAAGCAGGCATCGCCGGAGCAGAAGCAGGCATCTCCAGAGCAGAAGCAGGCATCTCCAGAGCCGAAGCAGGCATCTCCGGAGCCGAAGCAGGCATCGCCGGAGCAGAAGCAGGCATCTCCGGAGCCGAAGCAGGCATCGCCGGAGCAGAAGCAGGCATCTCCGGAGCCGAAGCAGGCATCTCCGGAGCCGAAGCAGGCATCTCCGGAGCCGAAGCAGGCATCGCCGGAGCAGAAACAGGCATCTCCGGAGCAGAAGCAGGCATCGCCGGAGCAGAAGCAGGCATCGCCGGAGCCGAAGCAGGCATCTCCGGAGCCGAAGCAGGCATCTCCGGAGCAGAAACAGGCATCTCCGGAGCAGGCATCCGGAGCCGAAGCAGGCATCTCCGGAGCAGAAGCAGGCATCGCCGGAGCAGAAGCAGGCATCTTCGGAGCCGAAGCAGGCATCTCCGGAGCCGAAGCAGGCATCTCCGGAGCCGAAGCAGGCATCTCCGGAGCCGAAGCAGGCATCTCCGGAGCCGAAGCAGGCATCGCCGGAGCCGAAGCAGGCATCTCCGGAGCCTTCAAACAGAGAGAGCGATGACGGTGGAGTGAAAGAGGACTACACCGGGGGAAACAGCATTAAAAACAGAATCAGTCAACTGTTTGACTCTGCGTCGAGGCCGGAGGCCATGCCGAAGAGGGATGAACCGGAAATCTTAACCGGTATAGGAGGGGTGAAGGAGCGCATCAAAAATTGGGCTGCAGAAACAACTTCTGAGGGTCCAAAGATGGAGAAGAAGCCTCCGGCTACATCCCGAGCACGCTCCAGAAGGTGAGTAAGGCTCTGCAGTTTGTGTGCAGTGACAAGATTAGACACAAAGAAAAGGAAGTGAGCATTCATTTGCAAGCACAGGTTCAAATCCCAAAGCCTATCTTCGTTGGTCAGATGTAGATGATTTATGACTTTGTGTCTAGGAAGCCTTAACCTTAAATGTGATTCATTTGTTGATTTGGGTGAGCAAATGTTGGATAAAAAACTTTTTATGTGGGTGTGTGATTGTATGTGGTTTCTCTTGATTTAGATTTTCTTTATGTTAGTGGTTTGGATTTACGAGGACATACAGGCATTTCTTATTTAGACAGAAAGCACGAACCCAGTTTCTGGTTTCTGTGAGCAGCTGTAGCAAGAGTGCAAGTCTAGAACTGTTGAGGAAGGAAAGTTTGAGTGTTGCTCTCTTGATGCTCCTCCGTGTTCAGTGTGTTTGGAAAGTAATCCGGGCGTGGTAAATGAAAAATGCTGCTGCAGTATCGATGTTGCAGCCAGATTTATGTCCTTAAATAACCAAGGTTAGATAAGAAAGCAAACTAAGCTACCGAAGTGTGTGAGGTTTGAGATTAGACATCCAGCTGTCTGCACATAGCTTCAGGTATTTAGCCATTCCCTATAGTGGATGTTAATGGGATTTTAGTTGTGTTTGCTTACAGTTTCCTAAATAACATTTAGGGAAATGAATCTTTCAGAAAATCTGCATCTTGACTATATTTTTGAGAGTTTTCACTGTCAGAAGTTTTCAGTGGAACTACTACTCCATGTACTGAATACGCATTATTATCTCTGAAGCACTGCTGACTGTGTGGAAATGCCATCAAGACTATTTAAGTGACCAGTCACTGAGTGGATAAGTAAAAACCTTGTTTTTTTACTCATGTTGAAATCAGACCTTTTAAGTAAATGCTCACAATTTCCAGGTAATTTATGCTCTCACTGACAGCTGGATTAGATATATACCTCTCTTTGCCCTTATGCTGGGTGTCATAAATATGTCACATGCTTCCTGGATTCCTATGAGGCTGCCAGCAAACCAATGAAGACTCGTGGAAGTCACTGGTCTGAATAAGCATTAGATCCACTGCTCTCTGTAAAACTTTGTTAACATTAAAGTTGACTTTTTGTGTTGGTTAAAAGCGACGCGCAAGGTGTTATTTCGCGAACTTCCAGGGTGCAAATAGGCCGTTTCCCCCAGCGCTACACTAAGCTAAACATTTGCTTTGTATTTAATGTACAGACAGACGTACACACAGGGTGGTGTCAATCTTCTGTTGTAGGTCTAGGTCTAGTTGTTGTCTGTTACTTTCATGTTAATCTCTAGAAACAACCTACCAGAAGTTTTCTTGTTTGTGTTTGTAGTCATGTGGTATAGACCAATCACATTAGAGCAGGGTTTGCTGTTTTTTATCTGCCTACAAAATGACTGCTATATGTAACAGGACACCTAGCTATCAGCTCAGTGACTCTTGAATGTTGAGAACAAAAAGCCCCCAAAACAAAACAAGAACAAAACGTCATTAAAACTCTGTTGTTCACAATGAAAAGCTATGATTGCTCTCTCCTCCACAGCTTTGAGCCCGCAACTTCTCCAACAGAAGTGAAAACACCAAAAACTTCAAATCTCAGACTTTCTGCCGAAGAAATGCCGCAGAGTCCGACTGTGGACCCCCCGTCAAAGGTCTCTCCTGTTGAACAACCAACAAAGTCCCCAACAGAAATGCTAAAAGGTGTTCGAACTGAAAAGAAATCATCGGAAAGTGCTGCAGAGAGCCCACAAGAGGCGAACAAATCAACAGAGGTTGACGTCCAGTTGCGCACCCCTAACTTGAGTGAAGATGTACCAAAGAGGGACAATGTCAAACGTCGCTCTGTTCGCTTTGGCACCGTGCAGAGTGATGATGGTGGGCCTCCACTGATCCTAGGCTCGGATTCTGATTCTGACACTGAAGATGAAGAAGAAGGAGAAGAAGAAGAAGGAGAAGAAGAAGAAGGAGAAGAAGAAGAAGAAGAAGAAGAAGAGGAGGAGGAGGAGAGTCCTGGAGTTACAGCTGAAAAGAAAGTCCCTGATTTAGTGCCTGTCTATAAAAGAGTAGGAATTTTTCAGAAAAAACATGATGAGAGTCAACAGCAAGAAGAAGAAAGACTGAAACATCTGAAATTTGAAGAACAGCGGCGAGCAGAGGAGACGGAACAAGCAAGGCTTCAGCTAGAACAGGAGCAGAAAAGAGTGGAAGAAGAGAAGGAAAAAGAAAGGGAAAGACAGAGGGAAGAGCTCAGGCTTAAGGAAGAGGAGAGGGCAAGGCAGAAAGAGGAGCAAATTAAACAAGAGATGGAGGAGAAGGAAAGGGAGAGGCTAAAGGAAGAGGAGAGACTGAGGAAGGAAAGAGAAAGACAGAGACTAAAAGAAGCGCAAGAGAGAGATAAAGAGCTAAAGCTGAAACAGGAGGAGGATGAAGAGAGAAAAAGAAGGGAACAGGAGAGGAAAATCCAGCAGGAGAAAGAGGCAGAGATGGAGAGGAAGAGGCTGTTAGAAAAACAGAAAGAAGAGGAGAGAAAGGAAGAGGAAAGAAAGATGAAGATTGAGAAAGAAAAAATGGAGCTGGAAATGAAAATCCAGCAGGAGAAAGAGGCAGAGATGGAGAGGAAGAGGCTGTTAGAAAAACAGAAAGAAGAGGAGAGAAGGGAAGAGGAAAGAAAGATGAAGATTGAGAAAGAAAAAATGGAGCTGGAAATGAAAATCCAGCAGGAGAAAGAGGCAGAGATGGAGAGGAAGAGGCTGTTAGAAAAACAGAAAGAAGAGGAGAGAAGGGAAGAGGAAAGAAAGAGGAAGATTGAGAAAGAAAAACTGGAGCTGGAAATGAAAATCCAGCAGGAGAAAGAGGCAGAGATGGAGAGGAAGAGGCTGTTAGAAAAACAGAAAGAAGAGGAGAGAAAGGAAGAGGAAAGGAGGCAGATTGAGAAGGAAAAACTGGAGTTGGAGATGAAAATCCAGCAGGAAAAAGAGGCAGAGATGGAGAGGAAGAGGCTCATAGAAAAACAGAAAGAAGAGGAGAGAAGGGAAGAGGAAAGAAAGAGGAAGATTGAGAAAGAAAAACTGGAGCTGGAAATGAAAATCCAGCAGGAGAAAGAGGCAGAGATGGAGAGGAAGAGGCTGTTAGAAAAACAGAAAGAAGAGGAGAGAAAGGAAGAGGAAAGAAAGAGGAAGATTGAGAAAGAAAAACTGGAGCTGGAAATGAAAATCCAGCAGGAGAAAGAGGCAGAGATGGAGAGGAAGAGGCTGTTAGAAAAACAGAAAGAAGAGGAGAGAAAGGAAGAGGAAAGAAAGAGGAAGATTGAGAAAGAAAAACTGGAGTTGGAGATGAAAATCCAGCAGGAAAAAGAGGCAGAGATGGAGAGGAAGAGGCTCATAGAAAAACAGAAAGAAGAGGAGAGAAGGGAAGAGGAAAGAAAGATGAAGATTGAGAAAGAAAGACTAGAGAAGCAGGAGCAGGAGAGAAAAATGCAAGAGGAACTGGAAAGAAGGCAGGCAGACCAACTCAAAGAAAAGCAAAGACTAGAGGACGAGAGAGAAACAAAGCAATCTGGGTTGAACAACATGCAAGAGGAGAGTTTGGTGCGCAGATCAAAGCCTCATCTAAACTATTTTGAATCTGAAGATTGGCCTCAGGAGTCAAAATCACCACATTCCCCCTCACCAAACACCTCTGGGCCCACAGAGAATCTGATGGATGTGGTTTATGATGACTTCTCGGTCAAACAGAATCCGATCAACATAGAATTTGATGATTTTTCAGTCAAACCGATAAAAGTGATCTCACGGCGTATAACAGAAAGCAGTCCAGTTTTCCGTAGTTGGGATGACTTTCTGGATATAGAGGAAGTGAAGGGACTGGTGCCTGTGGACGTCAAAACTGAGAGAGCCAAGGAAGACAAAATGGAAAAACCAGAGCAGTGTCCGAATACACCTCCTTTGCAGGAGAGAGAATGGGTGGAGGAGATAAAAGATGAGCCAGAAGAGGAGCAGCTCATCTCTCTAGACGTGAAGAAAGAGGAGCAGCTCATCTCTGTAGATGTAAAGAAAGAGGAGCAGCTCATCTCTCTAGACATGAAGAAAGAGGAGAAGCTCATCTCTGTAGATGTAAAGAAAGAGGAGCAGCTCATCTCTCTAGATGTGGAGGAGGAGGAAGAGGAGAAGGAGACAGAAACCGAGGATGAGGACGAGATGGAAGAAGACAACCAAGAGGTGAGCCCTATTTGGTTAGGTTCTAGCTATATTTGTATTTCTGTCACGCTTGATTAGATTTTTGTTTTGTGGACATCACTATGGTTATATGAAAGCTCCAACTGTTCACTTATGCAGAAAGGGTGAGGTTAGGAACAGAAGCAGGGGTGTGCACCACTAGTAAATGTGGTTATTTTGTCAATGAATCACATCAGCCAGGCAGCCATACACACCTCACCTGCACCAGCATTTTGCCATTCCTGTAAGACAAGGAGAGAAATATCTTGTCGTACTTGCTTCAGTGTGGTTAAGTCACAGCTTAAGAACTCATGACTGTGTTAGTGTGTGTGCGTGTACTTGTATTACTCATGTTAACACAGCTGGGGAGACTCCTTCATTTTAACTATCCTTATATAACTGCCTTATAAAGTAAGGCTGGGTCCAGGAAATGATACTGTTAATTCTCAGGGAAATTACTGTACTGTTTTCTGAAGGCAACATAAACATAAACATATCTCAATAGTACCCCCCCTCCCCCCCCTGAAGTGATTACTTGTTTTATTACAGCGAGAAACATCAAAGAAGGCTAGGGCGAGGTAAACTGCTAATGTGCACGTTTCAATGTTTCTGCTCTTAAAATTACTGCCATTCATTGTGGTAAGCGCGAGATCAGAATAGAAGTGCGATGACAGTGCGAAGTTTTGACGGCAGAAAGATGGGTTACACTTCCTGTGTGTGTTTCCAGAAGCTGTCTATCTTCTGTGTCTTCTGCTTTCAGTTTGCAAGAAACATTTTTAAGTAGAAGCATCGCAAACATTTTAAAGACGCATGTTACGAGGAAGAAGGTTTGGTATGAATGTGTGGAGAGTGTAAGGCAGGTGTGTGTTACTTAAGAGTGTGCTGTGTGATGATGTGGGCCATAGGGCTATAACCCGTCAGATAATGGGTCATGTGTTTCTATTTCACACGTCTTGTCATATTACCACTTTGCAAGCAAATTCGGTTGGTAGTGAAGATGTTAGTTTACACGATTATGTAATATGAAGTGCTGCCTAAAGGTGTAGTTCAGCGTTTTGCAAACAAAAGCATTTATATTCTCTTTTACTGAGAATTTTGTGAGGCAATTAACATTGAAGTTGTGTATGTAGCAAAAATAATGGCATCAGTTGCATAGTTTAACACAAAAGCTGGAAAGAAAGTTTTGTTTCTGCCTCCACTTTCCTGTCCACTCTGCACTACTGTGCTATCCATTAAAGAGAAGAGGCAAAGAAATGACAGTCATATCTTCTTCAGTCATAATGCTGAGTCATTATCAATAGATTTGGTATTGCACTTATCTAACCCTCAGTGTAAAAGTGATTAAAAGTGATTGAGTATTGAGTTGACATTCAGAGACAATGAAGTCGCAGAACAGCTGCAGTGCAAGACTGACGTCTGCAAATAAACATGATCACTTTACAGTTTGCAGTTTGAAGTTTTAGTTCGCCAAGTTTAGTTGTTCCAAAAATGCTTCGATGTGTTTGATTTCACATGTCTATGTGTCCTGTTTCACAACACGTGTGAGTTTGTCTTGCTGAAATAAGGTATATGATGCACTAATGCGTCACAGGTGCACAGACTGTCTCCTGATAAAATATCACATTTCGATTGGTCAGACCACAAACTGTTCCACTGCTCGTTAGTTCATAATAAGCGAGCTTGTGAACGCAGCTGCAATCTATGTTCGCTGACTGTTGGGTCATTCCATCTCAAATTTGCTCAGTCATCTCTGATTTACATAAAAGATTTATTGTCCAAAGTTTGAACATGTGTAATGAGTGCTGTGAAAGTTTAGTTTCCTATATCAACTACTTTTCAGGATGTATCTTTTGGAAAAAAAGGTTAGTCGACCCACTTTCAGGCACGTTTTTTGAAATCTGAGGCAGTGTTTGAACATGAATATTTGAAAAACTATTAAAGATGAAAGATTTTCTCAGTATCAAAATGAATCAGGATCTGTAATTTGGAATGGATACATTTGAAAAAAAGATAATTGGGTACTTAAAATATAAAGAGGCAATCTGTATGCTAACTGTGTGAATGAAGGCCGCAAGAATTGTAACTAATATGTATGAATATGCTACATTGTTGCGTTTTAATACCTGGAATAACCTGAATGATTAGCCTGCTTCAGAGCAGCAGGTCTTGAAATGGGTAGAGAAGGTCTCAGAGGTGAAAAATATGCACATATACCGGTACATTAAAATCATTTTTTTTGTATAATTTTGTTTTTGTTGTACAAATTATAATATTTGCTCAAGTCAGGATGAAAGTTGAGTGAAAGTAGCACTTTCTTTGTTTTTTTTCATGTTAAAAAGAGTTTTATATGTTTTATTTTACAGTATTATGATAAGTAACTATAAACCATTCAGACATTAGGACTACTTGTCTTTTGCAATGTGAGCTTTATTAGTGTGTGTGCTCAAATATAGGGCTTTACATATTTTCCATATTTTAACTACCTAATACTCACATTTTTGATGTATCTGGCCCAAATTACACATTGTAATTCATTTTCATGGTAAGATACATTTTCAGGCTTTTATCTTTTTAGATATTAGAATTTAAACATTGCTGCAAATTTCACTGGGCAAAAAAAAATACATATTGAAAATATATTTCAATACGTATTTATAGCAATTATTACATATTCAAACGTTGTACCATGAAATTTTTATGCAAATCGGAGACTTTGGTTTGACATTGCTCCTGAATCCATGTTGTGTTTTTCTCTAATGACTCATGAGAGAAACTTATTGTTATGCAATTTTATGTTGTGAAATATTATTCTCACATAGCTGAACTGTTGCCTTAATAGTAGTGAACGGCTGCTATTCTTTGCACCTCACAGTTTTGTCTTTTAATCATTTATATTATTGCATACATTTTACCTGCATCAACCTTTTATGTTTTGTCTTTGTGTTACTTTTTGTTTGAATCTAAGTTTTTCTTTTCCTACTAACTTCTTAGACAGTGTCCAAACTTCTTCTTTTATAATTGAGATTGGAGGTGACAGGTCAAGTAGATAGCAAAGTGAACAGATGTTCAATTTTGACACAGCATTTAAAAAAAAAATAAAGGCAGCAAACCCAACAAATTCCAGGTGAACAGAGCAGAGCTGCACTTAATGAGAGCAGGGCTGCCAGAGATATGACATTTAAGACAGATGGGCTCACCGCCTGTTTGAACATGCAACATTTTTGCAGACTTAATGAAAACAGTGAACCAACCCTGGACTGTGAGTGTGTGTTTGCTCTGTCAGTGCTGTAGCAAGCAAACCTTACCATACATAACCTATGACATACAGGGCAATGTATGCAACCACTTGAGTGCTGTAAAGGGGCTTTGCTTGTCTGTCTGTGTGAGTACATTCTTATTTGCACCATTGAGTGGCGCTGCTGCTCTTTGACTTTGCACTTCCTCACTGTGTGCTGCAGAAATGGTGAACTTTATCTCATATAAGGCACCTGAAAATCAGCTAAAAGTAAAAGACCTCTGTAACACTAAACTATATGTTTTCATAAGTGTAATCGTTTGTTTTCTTCTTTTCTTTCCCTTTTGATGCAATAATGCCAACCTGAAAACTGACAAAAAGCTTTTCATTTTTAGACAAAGCATACTGGAAAAAATGTTTACTAGGCAAACACAAGGTGTGCAGCTGATCGTGCACCCTCAGTCAGGCTTCTGATTGAAAGAAAGATGAGCAGATGATGGCAGGATGTGATGGTAAGAAGAGCCTAGGTGCTGTGTGGTCAGCATGCCCTCTTTTGGGTCTCTCCAGCAGAGCAGGATGTGAGAATGACCATACATGGTGCCCCATGTCTGCTCTCATTTTCTGTCTCTGTCTCTCAATCTCTCCACCCTGTTTTGAGAGAGAGCCTGTCATCCCCCCTCCCTCACACACAAACACACTCTCTGGCACACAAAGAGGACGGTCTAATCCAGAGACAAGAAAGTTCACGTCTACTGTCTGTGTGTTTTCTGCTGCTTCATTTGCCTTTTCCTCTCACAAAAACCTGGCTCATTCATTGCCTGCATTTACCTACGGATGAGACCGGCAGAGGGAGGTACAGAAAGCACCTTGGCCCAGCCAGGCCGCACCTTTCCTACTTCCCTCGGGATTTTCCACATCCGAGCACAGACCTCCGCTTTGTGTTGACGTTCTGTGAAATCACTCAGGTCTGACGGTGATAAAGGGGTGATCTGTCTCTCTGTACTTGCCTTTGGATGTTTGGAGTGTCAGATGCTTCCCATGTGATTTTTTTTTTCTTCCTGTTTTTGTGAACTCGGAAGTACGTGGGTAGGTTTAGTCAAAGAGGTTTTAGTCAAAGAGATAAAAGGATGTAAATTGCCAACTTTAGACTGAAACCTTCGAAGCTCTTTTTGCTTCCCAAGTGACGACAGAGAGGAGTTTTTGAAGCAGGCTTCAGTCGGTTTGTCTTTTAAATCGATGCTTAATCAATGATGGGAAGCTCTTTCTTTAGGATGCCGCTGTCTCACATCAATCATAGTTAATGTGACAGTGGAATAGTGTCGTCACACTGCAAACACATGGCTGGCTGGACTATTTACTTCTTCACTGACGGCAAATTGTAGACTATTCCAGGAAGTTCGGGTAAGCTGAGTCGTAAAAATATGCAGAGAGAGGAAGCATCCATTTCAAATGACAGATGGACTACGTTTTGTCTTCTGTGATGTCAGAAAAGTTCTTTCTACAAAATATAACTTCCTGTGCATACCTTCTGAAATATCAACAGACAGCTGGATCGCAGAGCCAGCTTTCTGACTCACCCGCAAAATCCTTTCATCTCTAATAAAGTTGAACCTCAGTTTCTCTGTTGAACCGGTTCCCATGGTGACCCTGCTGTCAGTGCAGCCAGCTGTGTGAGCTTTTCAAGCATGCAGTACTTTGAAGGAAAACTGTCGGCCGCCCAGCTGCAGGTGGCGGGCTGGGTGGGCAGCCTACGTCGGTCCTTGCAAGGGGCTCTGGAGCTCGTGTGGGGCCAGGAGAAGCAGGAGGAGGAAGAGGATGATAAAGAAGATGAAGAAGAGGAAAGTGGAGATGAAGGAGGAAGGTTTCAGAGGGCCATGTCACCGCTCCGTAGCTTTGCCAGTCGCAGCAGGAGATCCCTGCATCGCTTCTCCATCAGAAGTCGCAAGACTTTGCAGAGGAAAGCCACTAAAACCTGTTCTGTAAGAGCTGACATACACAAAGCAGTAAAAATATACAGTTACAGTAACTATATTTAAAGGCTTTGCTGTCTAATTTCCATTATCATTGTGTGCAATGATCAAAGCCGAAGCTTTTAGGGCGAGTTTTGTTAGAAAATGCTTCAAAACTCCCTGTAACTTATTAGCCTGTTCAAAATTTCCATGGACATGGGTTAAAAGATAACCATGCAAATGTAAATAGGGAGTGCAGCACACAGTGGCAGTGTGTTTCAGGAAGGACAGAGATATCTGATGAAGTTTCCTGCTTGTATTTTCTTTTTTTTATCAGTGCGCAGTCACGGCCTTTCCCTCTCTGTCTGTGGTGTATGTGGGAGATAACGCGCCGGACAATAACAAAGTGTGACACACTTAGACAAGGTTTATCTAACTGTTGTTATTTATGGGTGTCAGCTCCATATCTGCATCTGCCTTTTGTTTGAGCTGGCCGCCTTTGGCTCACAGCCTAACCGTTCTTAGTTAATGCCTTTTTTTCTTCCTATTTCTATCATTGTATGTCATTACATCTCATTACATTATATTATAATAGATTATATTTGATTTTGCAAGCGATCCTTGCACATTTTTTGGAACCAAAAAACATTTTGTTTACACTATATTTAAGTATATAACATGTACATTTGTCTGTAACTTTATCATACATGTGGGTGCACAGGAGAAACAAAGATTATCTCTCCGGCTTAATTCCCTTAATCTGGTGATCTGTCGTTTTGATTCTTGTGGTGACACTCCTTCACAGTCGTTGTGAATCAGATTGTTCCTCATTAAGTTGTACTTTTATTCTCTCCACTTAGCTGCAAACAAGGTTCCTTATACATTCCAGTGACCATGACAAAAATGTTATGCAGGTAAACTATAATCAAGCAGACTCTGTCCTAACTTGTGCAGCACATCCTGCGCCCTCAGCAGCACATTTTATACTGGCAAACACAGAGGTAGTGCTTTTATCCTTTATAGTAGGTGTGCGTGCTACTTAGAAGTTCTTGTCCTAAATCTTCAAATGTTGCTAGATGAATTAAGCTGCACCCTCATGTTTTTAATATATTAGCAGTGGATCCAGTGAAAGATTTAGCTCATAAAAAAAATCCTCTTAATGTTAGGAAAGGGAGGATCGATGTCACTGCATCGCTTTTGCATCTAACAATGCAAATTTATGTTAGGCCGGATATTTATTGTAGAAACACACCTTTACAAAGTTAGTAAATGCTGAGAAAAACACTAGCTTGCCTGACCAATCAACAACAGGACTTGGTGGAAATTAAATTTCATCCCTGGTTCTTACAGTGCAAAAGTGCCCTTGTGCCCTAGATTCTACAGGCCCAGGGTTCCTTATTCACCAGATTTCTATAGCATATAACAAGAATCCGAAAAATGAATTCTGGATTTATTTAACCCTCAGAGATGTAAATCACTATAAGTGCTAAATCTTAATCTAACCCTGCGTTTTGTAGAAGGATAAAAGAGATTTCTTGGGTTTAAAAAAAAAAAAGAATATTCCTTTAATTGATGATTGTCTAAGTTAGACTTAAGGTTAGGGTTGGAGTGATTGCTGTTGATAAAGTGCACCTCAGAGGGTTGATATGACATAGGTAAGGAATAAGACTGACCCAAGCATACCCAAGTTAAGTTACAGTGCCATGAAAAAATTTGCGACTTTTCTGACTCCTTCATTTTTTACACATTTGTGTAAAATGCTTAATTGTTTCATATTATCAAACAAATTAATTATTGGACAAAGATGAACTGAGTAAATGCAAAAGACCGTTTCCCAGGGGTGGGCAGCTTACCAAAATCACTCCAACACGCATCCAGGAGGTCACAAAAAACCCCCAGAACAACATCTACTTCACTTGCTATAAATGATGGAGTCATGAACTCTGCTGTCTACCAGAAAATCCCAGAGGAGAATGTTCAGGTGTTAGTTTGTACCCTGGAGCTTAAACCGAGTTGAGTTATACACCAGGACGATGATCCGAATCACACCAGCACTTCTGAATGGCTTAAAAAACAAAAACAGAGTGAAGTATTTGGAGTGATGTAGTCAAAATTCAGACTTAAATGCGATTGAGATGCTTTGGTCTTAAAAACAACCTCAAAGAGGCTGTTCAAGCTTGAAAACCCTCCCTTGTGGCTGAATTAAAATAATTCTGCAGAGAAGAGTGGGGTAAAATTCCTCCACAGTGATGTGAAAGATTTATTGCCACTTATTATAAATGCTTGATTGCAGTTCTTTCTGCCAAGGGTGGCACAATCTGTTATTATGTTTGAGGGGAATGACTTTCTCATTGCACGGTATACAGAATATTGAACTGGGGAGCATAAAACAAAGAACAAAGAACCCTGAACGTAGGACATGGCAAATACTGGACTATAAATTTATGGCGTGGGGAACATCCCAGAAATTTCCCTTGGGAGTTGGTGGAGACCAAAGCAGAGATAAAAGGAGAGTACGGGAGTACTGGATACTTTTCCAGTTCACAAACGTATCTCTCATTTCTCTGCAATAGTTGCAATATCTTTGCTCAATTTCTAAACATGTTTCTAATATCTAATTTATTGAGCACTCCTTTAGCTATGGCCAAAGTAGGAAGACGAGGCCGTTCGTTTTGAATTTTTAAAACGGAGGAAACTGGCTCCATAGTGTGGCGGTTTACGCATTTGGTTGACAAGCTAAATTTTGCTGGTTCCGTTCCAGACAGAGATAAGAATCCCCTTTGGGGTTGCGGTCAAATCAAATGTGCAGAGCTACCCGCTGTGGTGCCCACTTGTGACGAGGGGTCATCCTAAAGTAACTTTTCTTTTTTGTCTCCAAATCACACGATACAATGCTTCACTGTTTCTTTTATCTCTTGCACAAATGTTTTTCTAACCTTTGCATACTTAAGATTCACCCAAACAGGAATAACTGCATATTTGAAAAATTCTTTTGTTTTCTTATTGAACTCAGCTGGGAAGCATTAGTCAACATTAGAACTTTGTGAGTGACAGCTGCAGCTCTGTGATAAAGGTGGCACAGACACGGGATAAATCGCATCGCAGAGGAAAGGCTTGTGTAAAAAAGCACTTTGTTTTTTCTCTGTATCTGAACATGGAGTGTAGTTATAGGAAAATCACTAGAAGCCTATTCATTTGTGCTGTGATGCTGCCAGATAACAGGCATTGTGCAAATGAAGCTGCCCTGAGCGTCCTGAGTAATAAATGGCCTCACAAAAGAGATGAGATGTTTACTCAACTGTTGTGTTGTATCCAGGTGACAGTGTCTGGCCATTCAGCACTGGGATGCGCCCCTCAACAAAATATGAAGCGAGCATACAGGAATGTTTTACGAGGAAGTGGTTGCTTTTGTTTGGAACATGTTTGCGTGCGTCCGTGTATGCTTGTGTGTGCGTGTGTAGTATAGCATGTGGGCGTGACATCATGAGTGTGCTTAGTTTGTCTCTGTTGAGGCATAAAGGTGTGTACGCCAGTGCGTGTGTGTCTGTGTGCGCATGTTCATGCCCCCGGTGTTCATTGAGGACAGCCCAGCCTCTGTGACAGGCTCATTAAAAGACGCATGCTTGGCTGGTCCTTTCTCTCTGTGTAGCTGGTGAGTTTTGGCTCAGCACACAGTTTAGTTTCTCCTTGTTTTAACTCTACAATTTAAAGTTCTTGTTCATAAATTTATATGACGTAGAGGATCATTTGGGTCGTTGAAAAAAAGGATTTTCAATCCATGAACAGAGCAATAGCTTAGAATTTAAGTTAAGGTATTCAGCCAAATATGTCATTTAGCAGGGAAGCATGATGGTGATCTGCCAGTTAGTACTGTTGACTCATAGAAGAAGGTCCTGGGTTCGAATCCACCATCTGGCCTTTCTGTCTGGAAGCTGCATGCGTTTCCCGTGTTTGTGCGGGTTTACTCCTTCCACAGTCCAAAGACATGCAGTTGGTGGGGTTAGGTTAATTGGTGATTCTAAATTACCCATGTTTCTCTGTCTTACTATAGGTTCTTTACTTTATATACTTGTTGTTTTGATTTTGGGTTATATGAATAAAATAGAATTGACGATTTCTCTGGTTTCTGCATGTGTTTTCCTTTTGAATTTGCCTGAAATTTTCTGTCCATCTCGCAGGATCAGACCAACAGTTTCTCCACAAAAAATGAAGACAAGGACACCGATGCTTTGATAGACTTTGGCCTTATTCATGACCAGCAGGATCCAGTCTGGGAACAAACACCTGAAAGAAACAGGTAGGAAATCATTTGCATTATTTAAAAAAATAAGTAGTTTGAGTTTTCGTTGTACTTGTATGACAATGTTAATCCTCAAGCCTTTAAAACGTTTCTATTTTTTTATTTGTTTGGCCAAATGTCATAATTTAGACTTCAGGAAAGTGTTTAGGAACAGAAATCTTGTGACAGCTTAACCAAATGCAGATGCACATTAAAATGTGCTGTCAGGCATTTGAAAGTTGAGCTCCCTGTGCCCCCTTGTGGTCAACAAAGTTAGGCACATATGCTTAATGGAGTGGTGAAATTAAAAACAAAAAAACAAATTGAAATGAGCCAAAAGCATTTTGGCAATGCCCTATGAACATTCTTCTTCAGCGTTGTTTACACTTTTGTTCTCTTCAGTCCACAGCCAGTCCCTGACGAAGTACCTGAAGTCTCATCTGAAGACACCGCCGATGATCTGAAAGAGCCAGAGTTTGCCCCTTTTCCCGAGGTTAGTGAGTTTTTAAATCTTCCCCTGTGCCATCAACCAAAAAAGGTGACATGGAATTCAGTTGTTACTTTTCAAACTTACTTTAGAAAATATCTGTTTGTGCTTGTGCCTTTCTGTAGTGTGAAGCATGGATAGATGGCAAGATAGATAGAAGCACAAAACAAAGATATCAATGACGTTTGTAACAGATAAACACTAACTCGTCATTGTGGAAATAATTTTATCAACTCCTGAAGAGAGTTATCAAGACAAAAACAAAACCAACTAAACTTTATACACGCTGCCTACATTCACATAGTTATAGATATGTACACGTAACATTGATAATGGAAAACAGTGGCATCCAGAAGACAAGAGTCAGAACTCAGCAAAACAGAAAACTTATTTACGGAGCCAATTCATCCTCATATTCACGTGATTTTTTCAATACAGTTGTGTGAACTTGTGCAGTGAGTCATTGGCTCTGTGCAGTCTTTCCACAGTGTTTTCTCTTCTCTCTCTCTTCTCCCAGCTTATTAAACATATAATTTTCTCTCTGTGCGTGACGTTTTTGTCTGGCTTGAAACAAATTCTGGGCGAAACTCCTGTCGTCTTGCTTTGTACACAATTTCGACTCAACCAGGTCACTAAATTGTTTTGTTTTTTTTATTTGAGTGACGAAGAGTGACAGCTGATTGAAGCCAGTGTTATTAATTATTCTTATTGCTCTTTTATGTAATAAATATATTGGCTGTATATTTCTTTTGGATGTGTTTCCCCATACTTCTACACATTATGTCATAAAGGGAAGTTTGCAAGCAGAGTGTGGTTTATGAAATCTTTGACTTTATACAGTGTCATAACTGATTTAAAATCTTTTTTTCTAATGTGTTCAATATGTGACTTCCAGAATATTATATAATTTATTATTTATTGTTACCTTAAGGAATTTAATTTCAGTTACTTTTTATATTTCTAATTATTTTCTAGTAATAAATAATGCACACTTGTGGCCAGTGCGTTTGCTTTTTATTGTTAGATTTTGTATATGTGTCTCTGTACAGAGCTCCACTCCTCTCCTTGACACCAGTGCACAAAGATCCAAGGCGGATCTGGGAAAGAGGCGTATTCGAACACGTCCATCACGCAGGCTGACCGCAGGGTTAGCTCAGACGGAAACACAGGATTGGGGGACCCAGGACTCCACAGGTTATTAGAGTATCTGTAATGTTCTATGTGAAAGCGTCAGTGGTATAAAGACAGCTGACGATATCGAATTGTTTTGACTCGTGTCTGTGTTTTTCAGTTGAAAAAGAGACCGTTGCAAAAGAAAGGGAGTCAGATTCTGAGGAAGAACAGCCTAAACCCAAGGTAGTCTGTTCCCCGTCCCAGCGAGTGCCAGTGTTTCCTGGTATGAGTCCTGCAGGCTTGCTTGTAAGTTCTCAAAGCATTCAAGAACAACTTCAATTTATTTTAAATGTGTTTTTTTTAATTAATAATATATGTAATATGACGCAAATGGGTCTTTCTTTTATTAAATTAAGTACTTATTTGTATTTATTTGCTTTTTTTAAGGCTCAACTTAAAAGGAAAACAGGTGGTGGAGGAACTGCAGTGAAAGAGGAAACCGTAGAAAGCAAAGCTAGCGAAGAGAAGGAACATCAAGATGAAGAAGTGGCACCATCTTCCGTGGAGCTCTCACATTCTCCTCGCACGCCTGCCCGTCTGGCTGGAGCTACACGGGTGCTGCCACTCATAGGCAACAAAGAAGAAGGGTAAGCAGAAAGAAGCGCTGCTCACCAAAACAAATATATATGTTGTGTAAATGATCCAGATATCTTTGGGGAAGATGACTGAAATATCGAAATATTGTCTGTGACATTCAGTGGTGCCTCCTCGCCTGCTTGGCTGAAAGAGCTGAAATCTAAGAAGCGTATGAGTCAGCACGGCAGTGACGCTTAGCCAGACTGAGGTGAGTGATTTAATATAATTAAAAAAGCTTGCCATGATTTTTGTATTTTACTTATATGCTAAAATATGATTCTGAGTATTATTTAAAAATGTAAAAACGTATTACTGTAGCTTTTAATATATAGATTTTTTTAGGTTACAGTACAGAAGTTCCTACATTGCTATATGACTGTGGGGGAAATAATTATTTGATCACATGCAGAATTTGTAAGTTTGATCACTTGCAAAGACAAACACTTTTATGTTGGTTTAATTTTAGTGGAGAGAGACAGAGTATTAACCAATCAACCAATAATACAGAAATAAAAACCCCTGCATTGCATAATAGTAACATGAAATGCTGAAATTTGGTAAAAGTAGTTGATCCCCCAAGCAAAACATGACTGAAGCCATTGCTAGCAAGCACACTGGTTAGATGTGTCTTGTAGTTGGTCACCAGGTTTGCACACATCTGAGGAGGGATTTCGGCCTACTCCCCTTTACAGAAACTTTAAAGAAAGACATGGCAAAGACATGCTCAGTTGGCTGTCTAGGCTGTTGCTTGGCAACTGGAAGCTTCAGCTTCCTCCACAGATTTACTGTCGCACTGGCGTCTGGAGATTGGCTAAACCACAAAATGACCTTAATGTGCTTCTTTTTTAGTCACTCCTTTGTTGCCTCGGCGGTATGTTTTGGGTCATTGTCATGCTTAAAGACCCATCCAAAACTCATCTTCAGTTTTCTGGCTGAAGAAAGGAAGTTTTCATCCAAGATTTTTCAGTACATGGCCCCGTCCATTGGGCCTTCAGTGCAGTGAAATTGTCCTGTACTCTTAGCAGAAAAACAACCCCAAAGCATAATGTTTCCATCTCCATGCTTGACTGTGGGGATGGTGTTCTTTGGGTCAGTATTTCTCATGACAGGTTGGCGCCAAATGGCTCAATTTTAATTTCACATGACCACAGCACTTTCTCCCAAGCCTCTCTGAATCATTTAGATGTTCACTGGCAAACCTACGACAGGCCTGAACATGTGCCTTCTTGACCAGGTGGACCCCCACAGCCGCTACAGGATTGCAGTCCATTACGAGTATCTTACCACTGTGCTTGCTAAAGGGTTTCTCTACTAAGTAGAAGGACTAAGTCCTGTTTTTCTTGGTGATCAAATACTTATTTCATTCAGTGACATACATATGGGACTGCATGTTTGCGTGGGTTCTCTCCGGTTACTCCATCTTCCTCCTGCAGCCCTAAGACATGCAGTTAGTGAAGTTAGGTCTTTTTCTGTGTTATCCCTGTGTCAGATTAGCAAACTGTCCATTGTGTACCTTGTCTCCTGCACTATTGTAGTTGGGGATCCAACTACACCCCTCCCGGTCCTTATAAGGATAAGCAGAAGAGAATGGATGGACAGACACAAAGAAGTGTATAACTTTTATGTAATATGCGTTTTTCTGGATTTTTGGTTGATATTCTGTCTCTCTCCATTAAAATGAAACTATCACAAAAAGTAGAGACTGTTGATTTCTTTGTGAGTAAAGTTAGTAATTAAGCAGGGGCTCAAATAATTATTTCCTTCAGTGTAGTTGTCAGTAGGGGGTAAAAGGGTTTTTTAATTACTTTTTCTTATCCAAAAAGTGATCTAATAGTCTTTTGTGCAAAAGGTTTCTTTGAATGACTTGTAGATTCATCAGCTGTTTTTCTGCTACTTCTAACCCTTTTATGACTGGTGCATTGCGTATAATTATAGGGCTTAACAGGATTGGCTGTAGATAAGCATGAACATTTTGACCTTTTTAACATTTGGCTTAATTTGCATTTTTTTCTAAGGCAGGCTATGACAAAACCGACAGCGAAGACAAAAAAAACCCCCAACGGGAAACAGGCCATTATCTTTGCTTTTTTTTTTTTCTTCTATCACAATGAGAACCAGACACTGGGGGAAAACATTTTGTACCTAAATGTACTTTATTCTGCTTGATGTGCTTTTAACCTGCCTGTAAAATTAACCCTAACTCTCACAGGTTTTGACTAGCTTAGGGAGAATTATGGAAGTATAAAGGGCTTATGAACACACCAAACACACATTGTGTTACTGATGTTACCACATTATGAGTTTTATATATTCAATGCTTCCATTTGACCTTACTGCATCTTGTCCACCCTTTAGGAAACACCGTGCCATTGCCATTGAGCTCAGCTGCTGCTGCCGGCAGACATGACCGCTCCATCGTGTGCCCAGAGTGCCTTATTTTGTACCTTCACTGGGATGTTCACTTTTGCTGAACGCGCCTTTGAAATTGAATATAATGCCAAGTCTACGTGCCTGTGATGTTTTAATGCCAAGTACATGTTATATGAAATGTTGTTTAAGAAGCTCAGTGGAGAGCAAATACCCCAGTGTCATTTGGAGCAAAGTCATGGACTGTCTGCCTGGATTGTGTAAATTTGTAAGACTGTCATGTACTGACAGGGACTGATGACACTAGGCCTTTAGCAGGATATCTACATTCACACACACGCAGGCCTTTTTATAGTTGTGAGGACACTCGTTGATCACATTGCCTACCCGCTCTCCCAACCCAACTCTTGTCATGTTCTAAATCCAATTTTAACCGTATCATTATCATCAAGTGTGAACCCTCGAAGAGACCTTTGAGGCTCTGGATCCTCACAATGCAGAAGTTCCCTCACTGTGATTTAGAATTTTTTTTTTTTTATCCTCATAAACACAGAAATACACGGATGAGGAAACACATGTGTACAGAATTACGAAATATAAATAATGCACCTTGTGTGTATTTAGTTTTAATTGTACAAAAATGCCTTTTATATTGTTTAACCGATCACAAAGCATCTCAAGTAAGGCTTGAAGCACTTTAAGAAAAGTTCTAGCAAATTACCGTCCAAACAGCAGTAGAGTAAAAACTGTAGTGACAGAATCCCGGGATTTTTTTGTGCCTTCTTCATTTTGTTACATCATTAGTGTCTATCTACTTTTTAAAACAAGATCTCACAAGGCTTAATTAAGTACTGCCTGATTTGTTTAACCCACCCACTAGCTGGTTAGAGCGTCAACAGTGGGCTGAGAGGATATTTCTGGGGTGCAATAACAGAGTCAGAAAAAAAATGTTTAAAGGAGAAAAATGCAATAATGTGCTGGAGGTTTTATGTGCCTTTTTAATGTTTAAGAATGAATGTCATCAAAATGGAATTCATTATTGATCAACTTACTGTATGTTAGTGGGAAATTGGGGGAATTTTATTAAAATGTTTTCTATGAAATGAAGTTGAGTGTATTATTTATTTGTTGGTTGATTGATTTATTTTGGACATTGAACTTCCTATTGCATGTATTCAGTGGCAGTAAAGCATAGATACATTAACTGGGCAATATATTAGGTACACCTTACTCATACTGGGTTGGACACCCTTTCCACCTTCAGAGCTACCTTAATCCTTTGTGGCATAGATTCAACCCAGGAGCTGGAAACATTCCTCAGAGATTTTGTCCATATTGTCATGATGGCATCAAACAGTTGCTAGATATTCAGCTGCTGCGCATCCATGATGTGAATCTCCCTTTCCACCACATCCCAAAGGAGCTCTATTGGAATGAGATGTGGTGATTGTGGAGGCCATTTGAGCACAATGAAATCACTGTCAGGTTCAAGAAATCACTTTGAGATAATCTGAGCTTTCTGTCACCTGTGTTATCCTGCTGGAAGCAGCCATCAGAAGATGGGTGTACTGTGATCATTAAGGGATAGACAGGGTCAACAACAATACTCAGGTGGACTGCGGTGTTTAAATAATTCTCTGTTGGTAGCAAAGGGTGCAGGAAAATATCCCTCCACATCATCACACCAGCAGCAGCCCAAACTATTGATATAAGCCCGGATGGATTCATGGTCTTATTTTGTTTATGCCAAATTCTCACTCTATGCTCTGAATGTTACTGCAGAAATCAAGACTGGGAAATGTTTTTCCAATTTTCCATTGTGCAATTCCAGTGAGCTTGTTTGAACTGTAGCCCCAGTTTCTTGTTCTTCGGTGATAGGAGTGGCACCCAGTGTGGTCCCGTCTGCTTCAAGGTTCAATGTGTCATTTGTTCAGAGATGGTCTTTTGTATACCTTGGTTGTAAAAAAAATAGCTATTTAAGTTACTTTTTTCATCCTATCAGCTCAAAGAAGTTTGGTCATTGTCCTCTAACTTTTGGCATCAACCAGGAATTTTCACCCAGAGAACTGCAGCTCACTGGATATTTTCTTTTTTTTTTTAAACCATTCTCTGTAAACTCTAGAGATGGTTGTGTGTTAAATCCCAGTAGATCAGCACTTTCTGACATATTCAGACCAGCCCATCTGGTATTATGCCAGATTCAAAGTCAATTAAGTCATCCTTTATGCTCCATTCTGATTCTCAATTTGAACTTCAGGAGGCCGTCTTGACCACATGCCTAAATGCACTTTTTAATGCAGTTTCAGTGTCAATGTGATTGATTGCTTAGATAACAAGCAGTTGAATAGGTGTGCCTAAAAAGTGTTGAGTGACTTCTTCGATTGTGTTTTACAAATCCTTTTGCTCTTGTCGTTTTTTTGGAGTTATTCATAAAAATGTGCCTATTCTTTTGAAATTGCACATAAAGGGAAAATTTGGATGCAATTTCTGTTGGGAACTGGATGAAGAGAAAGGTAAAGAAAGGGGTAGAAGAGTGGAGAGTGGAGAGCAAGATAGTTGGGTGGGGCCAATAGTGCTGAGTGAGACTGATCTCTGTTCATTCTCTTGGCTGGCAGTCAGAGCTTGTACCCACTATAGGATCATGGTCAGGATGGCAGCACAGGCAGAGAGCTGGGCAGCGCTTGCCAGTGTGCCAGGGACAGAGGGCAATCCTATTGAGAAGCAGTGTGATGGACACAATGGGTGCGACAGACTTGCTGCATCAACAGGCTTTTTGCTGCTGTGGCTAGAAATAAACCATAAATACCCCCACTGGCATCCACCAACCGCTCACCAGGCCTCCACACAGATCCTCACTCAGTCACAGACAGAAAGGGCAAAGAAAAGAAAGAGGGAAGACGGAAAACGTGGCTTGTACGGGGTGCATTGAAGCACAAGCCATCAAGGTAAAGAAAAAAAAAGAAAAAGGGAAAAAGAACCAAGATAATTATTTTCCCTTTTTTTTGTTTTCTCTCAAGAACTTCTTCTGTGTGGATCCAGAGGGACTATTAGTGTGCTATTCTAACAGATACAAGTAAGATTTGTGTAAGCTAAACAAAAGTTTGCAGGTTACTTCCTGATTGATTTCTGAACAACAAGATTATGCTAATCTAAACTGTATTATGCAATCCAATCTTGCAGGAAAACCTTTTTCAAGTGCATAAAGTCAATAGCTCATATCTCATCATTTTTATTTGAATGTTTATTTTGTATATCAGGTGTATGTATTTAATCTGACACTAAGCAATGTGATTGTTGTGCTTTGTAGACTAAAAATGACAGACCAGCAGGGAACCCCAGACCAGCTGCCTGCAGAAAAGGGCCAAGGAGGGGCTGGAGCAACATATAAGGTACCAGATTTAACAAGAGGGACTTTTCTGTTAAACAAGCTCAAAAAGACCACGGGCTTATGGACTGCATCATTCAACTGCTCCACCTGTCCCTGTTTTGCAGCTGGTGGTTTTTGAGTATGAGAACTTTCGTGGAAAAAAGGTGGAGCTGTCTGGTGAATGTAAAGATGTGCTGGAGAAGACACAAAGGGTTGGTTCAGTCATTGTGGAGTCGGGACCGTGAGTGACTCAGTTACCCTTCCTTCATTTTCACTGCATGTAGATCCTATTTTGTAGCTGTTACCTTTGCTTTCAACAAATGTGTGCATTTATATGTCTTGCTTATTTTCCATGTTGTCAGATGGGTAGGGTTTGAGCGTCCAAGTTTTGCTGGAGAGCTGTTTGTGCTGGAGAAAGGAGAGTATCCTCGTTGGAGCACCTGGACCAACTGCCAGAGTAGCTACAGCCTGAGCTCCTTTAGGCCTCTGAAAGTGGTATGTACTTGAAATGAAATGAACCTCAGACATTTTGTGATTTCGCAAGGGTTGATGTTAAACATGTGGAAATATACTGTTTTCTGCAGGACAGTGCAGATCACAAGTTACATCTGTTTGAGAATGCTGGCTTTGAAGGCAGAAAAATGGAGATTGTTGATGATGATGTCCCCAGTCTGTGGGCTCATGGTTTCCAAGACCGTGTGGCCAGTGCTAAGGCTGTCAATGGAACGTAAGTTTCACCATTCTCAGTCTCTCACTACAATGATTTCCACTTATCAGAACTGAAGCCATGAAATGTAAGATAGAAGTGCATTTGTGCAAAATGATACTAAATTTGTGTAAAAATCACTGTCCCAGAAATGTGATACTGTTTCTCTTTCTCGTGAAGGTGGGTAGGATACATGTATCCAGGTTACAGAGGGCGCCAGTATGTGTTTGAGCAAGGAGACTTCAAGCACTGGAATGATTGGGGAGCCACTGCACCTCAGATCCAGTCCGTCCGACGTGTGCGGGACATGCAGTGGCATAAGAGAGGGTGCTATATTGCCCCTGCCCCCGCCCCTGCCCCAGCTCCTGGTCCAGCCCCAGCTCCAGCCCCTGGCCCTACACCACCCAATCCTAACCCTATTCCCAACCCCAAATCCCAAACTCAGCCCGAAGCTTAAACTCCCACCTCTGACACCTTCCACAGAAACTGGTGAATGCTGAAGGCAGCTGGCCAGTCCTTAGTCTCTCATTATTAAAGCTCTTTATTGGTTTAGGCTTTTGGAAAACTGGAACTGAAAAAATTAACCATGCATCTCTGTTGGAAATAAAAGTTTTGGCCCTGATTCTGGTTATTTGTAAATTATTCCATGCCATTTATTTTGCATAAATTAATACATGGGATTGGAGTGAGAGTGTTAAAACGATCTGTGCATTAGACAAACAACTTATAAGTATATTAAAATTAAGTAAACAATAATTCAGACCAGAAAGAAATAATTATCAACTATTAGTAATTGGCATTAGAAGGGTGCGTGATGTGAAAAAAAAAAACTTTGTTTTTTTTTGTGACACTAGAAATCCTTGCTACACTACCACTGATAACCTGATATTCTTTTTCAATTATTTAGTCACTGTCGACCTGATGTTTGGTTCTTCTGAGTCTTTGAATCTAGTCAGGCCCCGTTTCTTTTTAACTCTGGGGCATTGTAATTAATGCTCATAAAATTTTTGCTATTTTTATACATTTTTTTTTTTTACTATTAGGCACTTGTTAGATTGTAAACTAACTGTGATATTCAGCCACTGTTTTGTTGATAAAAACACGATCAGCCCCCTCTTCAGAACCTTTCCCAGCGTTCCTTGGTGTGCTCAACTCTCATTGGTTAACAACTGCATTTATGCCCGCCCACATAAAATGGAACATCCAATCAGAACCAAGATTCATTCAGCAGGCTCGTGAGCTGGGCGGGCAACGCGCAAAATTTGAAAGTTGACCGGAAACAGGGTGGCTGTGTAGAAAATAGTGTGCTCTTAAGCACATAAATATGCCTATATAACTTAGAAAGAGTATAATAGCTACCTAAACGACTAGCTGGTGAGTAATTTCCTAACAGACCGCTTTAATTTTATTCATATGTCAAGAGTGTTTCGTCTTTAATGTTGTTTTATAAGCTAAGTTAGAAAGCGAACGTTACCCACCGTTAGCTTAGCGCGCTAAAGGGGGGCATGTTGTTGACACCAAGTGACAGCTTTTCCTTGGTCTGTAGGTATCAATATTTCGTTAATGCCCTGGATTTAAATCTCGACTTGCTACCTGCTTTTATGCTGTGAAGAGACCATGCTGAAGTTTAAATACGTGAGTCAGGGAAACCTGAAAACACCGTCTTCCTCTGCTGACCCTATCACTAGCCGCAGCTCACGACTCAACCAGCTGTTTCAGGTAAAGTAATGGATCAGTTTAGGTGTAGTTTCGATCTCTTAAAATTCAGTTTAAATACATCCCGAATAGCAGACTCCTGTGAATTCCACTTTTCTTGTTTGTGTATTGTTTTCAGGGACGACTGAGTCTGTGTGGGGAGCAGGGAGGATGCACTTTAGGTCGGGAAGAGTTTCTGGAGGCTTTGCTGCTTCTCTACCAAGAGTGCACTTCCCCAGAACTTATGAAGATACATCATGTGGCAAACTTCGTCAATAAATGTAAGCATACATTTTAAATATGAGCAAGATTTGTTTGTTTTATTTATCAGTCATATCC